AAGTTTCAAAAATTTTTGTTGGTTCATTTGATATTTTTTCAACTTTTTCAACTTTCAACTTGAAATTTTACAATTTTTTTAAAATTTTAATTTTTTATTCATTTAATATTTTAATTTTTAATATTTTAATATTTTATTATTTTAATTTTTTTCTTGATTTTTGATTTTGATTTTTTGAATTTATTTTCTTTCTTTATTATTTTAAATTTTTAAGAATCTCGAAAACTAAAATCACAATTTTTAAAAATTTATATATTATAAATGTTAATTCCTAGTATGCTAATTGATAAATTTCTCAAAATTTCTTCAAGATAAAAACCTCGCAAATCAACAACCCAAATATTGACACAACCAACTTCAAGACCCCCACTAAGTGCCTCAAATATTTACCAAGCCAACGAGTGTGAAAAATGGCAGTTCCATTCGAAAATCGAGAACAAAAGTCAAAGAAATCAAAACTCAAATTCTTAGTGGTTAAAAAGAAGAAGAAAGGCGACAAAGAAGAAGACAAGGATGGAGAGAAATCGACAATGTCGCTGATATTCCTGATGAAACTGCTTTCCGATACGCATTTTAAATTTAAGAGGTTTGTATGACTCAATTTTTTTTCTTCTTAAATTGGATTGCGATAGGGGAGAATGATGCAGGCATAAATATTGAAAATATGTAAATTTTTGGTCTTTATCTTTCATTATTTATTGAATTTATATTAGATTGTTTTTGAACTTATGAGGGATATACTTTTATTTTTTTATGGACATAACTTTCATCGTCCAGAATATTTTAAATTTACATGTCAAATATGCAAATTGAATAATACAATTGTGCAAAAAAAAATTTTATCGTTAGAATCAGAAAATTGCGTCAACACTCGTGCGTATACAAAGAAACTTATGAGGACAATCATGAAATCAAAATGAATAAATTAAGTGATATAAATAAATAATGTAAAATGGGACGATAGAAATCACAATTTTTGAAGAAGAAAAAAACTTGTTTGAATGATTCACAATTCAGAGCGTCAGTAAATGGATGTTATGAGATGATAATGGCTAATGTTTGCGAAATAACATTATAATTTATTTTGAGAATTATGAAATATGTTCACAAAATTATTGGCAATTGCAATGTGTGGTCGAAGAGCTGTAAGGTCAGAAGAGAATGAAATTTTGGATACTGTAATAATTTTAGGCGAATCTAGGAATAAGATAGTAAAGGATCTATGGCGGAGTGGTTGTTTAAAATGTAATCATCAATTTTGTTAAAGACTGGGTTCGATTCCCACGAATAATCTTCAAAATTTACATCATTAATTCTTAAGAATTCCTTTTTTCCTCTGAAAATGCTTCCAAACTTAGTTTGTCCCGGGATAGCATCAGTTTTTTTTTTTGCTGAAAGTTGGCAAAAAAACCAATGGACAGCCATGAATAATGGTTTTTTGGCTCCTGTATATAAAAACCATTACTTTACTGTTCCGTCAATCTATTCGCGAAGCACCTAGGATTTTCTCACAGAACACTAAAGCTCCACGGAGTAATAGTTTAAGAAACAATGAATAAGAGCCTAGAATCTACCTTGATAAACAAAGAGTATGCTCTTAAGACTAGGCCATAGACTCAGAACATACTCAGTAAATGCATTTTCCAGACTCATCATCCACTTTAAGAGCATATCCTTTTGTCAGTTAAGGCCATCGATTATAGTGTGATTAAAATTCTCCAAAGTCGATCAAAATCAACCAGACTGTTACTTAATCAAGTGAAAGAAATTGAAAAGAAATTGAGTTTTAATTGATTTATTAAATTCATAAATAAATTCTCAGTTTACTGCTAAATAAATCGGATATAGCTCGAATATATAATTGAAAATGCAACAAAATTGACAGTTTTCAATTCACACAACATCTTGGCTATGCTTCAAAAATATAATAAAATTCACAATGACAAATGTTATCGAAAAAAAAAAACAATTTCGCAATCATCCACACCTGATCAAAGTCGCATTCTAAGTTCACCTACAATGACAAATCCACCGCATGTAAATTTATTAACTCACATTGCATTACTAACTGTATAATAGACAAAGAAATGATTACTTCATACCTTTATAAGGTGTCCGTTCAACTTCATTTTACATGATTTTTCTGACAGCTTCTCGTTATACAACCCGACATGCTTATCTTAATAAAATTTATTCCATTATTTTCTTTATTGAATCAAAAAAAAATTTCTATCTTCTTCCTTGACTTTGGAACTAGCTCCACGAATAAAACTTCATACAGACAATGTAATGTGCTAATAAAATGTAAATGATTCATGAGTTTCACACTTGGAGATATAATAAAGAATAAACAGCATGACTCACTATGTAAGCACACACACTGGCTGCGGTCAGTGCAGTCAAGCGCAGGTTAAAGATTTCTTAACAAATTCTTCAGGCGTGAAATGCAGCGCTAATTTACAACCTATGATTCTCAATAAAGATTGCAGCCAATTAACAGAAAAGAATGAAAATATGACACGAAATTTCCGTATAGTTGTAATGTTGATAGGCACACATGACCTGTTCGCATAATAAAATATGTAAATTAAATTTTGGCAAAATCAACAGTTTTTGTCCAGCAATAAATCAACCAAAAATGCATGCTATCTATGAATTAATATAATCACAATATTTAGTTATAAATTTGTAAAAATAATTCAATTTAAATGTAAATTAATTTTTATGATAATTTACTCTAATTACAGGTTCAAGTAGAGACGTCTGGGGAAGCTCAATGACCACTGACATGCTCAACTAACGAATTATTAACAATTTTATTTTTGTACAGATTTTTATCAACTATAATCATCATTTCATCATCACGATTACCATAAAATTAATTTTAGTTTATAAATTTTTATTGTACCAGTGCCTTTGGAATACTTTTAGATTGTAAAGTTTTTTTTTTATGAAGTGTAAAGAGTGTGGGATTGGAGTTCATTTGGGGGCAGATTTTTGTGGTAGAAACTTGAATTTACTGGAGATTTTAAAGTTTTAAATTGAATAATTTTTGGAAATATTTGCTGAAAAATGTTGATTTTTGGGAACAGAATTTAATTAAAATTTTTATAGTGTTAAAAAATTCGAGAAAAGGAAAAAAAAAAACAAAAAAATTAAGAAAAGTTCAAAAAACAAAAAAAAATAAAAAGAATAAAAATATTCAGAAAAATAAAAAAAAATCAATAAAAATTTAAAAAATTCAAAAAAAATCAAAAATTTCAAAAAATCATTCAAATATTCAAAAATACATTCAAAAGTTTCAAAAAAATTTCAAAACAAATCCATATTTTTAAAAAAAATCAAAAAACTTTAATAAAATTCAAAAAAAAACTCAAAAATTTTAACAAATCACTCAAAAATTTCAAAAAAAATTTGAAAATTTCAAAAATATAAAAAAAAATTCAAAAATATAAAAAAAATTCAAAAATTGCAAAACAAATTCAAACGTTTAAAAATGGAAAAAAATCAAAAAAATTAAAAAAATGTTTAAAAAATTAAAACGAGGATAGATATTTAATAAAAAAAATGAAAACTTGCCAGAAGCCACAAGAACCCCCCAAAAAAGCCCCCATCAACCCAATATAAATACTTATTGAATAACAAAATAAAATATCACATAAAATAGTTTTCGTTTGATCTCATTTTAAACAACAATAACAAATACCTAATTTATAAGATCTCAAGAACTCAAGTTCATAAGCTAAACATCATAAAGAAGTAAATATTCAATGTAATGATTATAATTGTGATAAATTTATTGTATGAAATTGGATTCAATTTATTGCAGCCAATTGAAAAAAAAACTTATTTTTTTATTCTTCAACATGTAAAACGTATGCAATATCAATTTTCATAATCATATTATTCATTTATAATTTGCAATATATTATAATGATATGGAAATAAATGCACAATATCGAATGAAATAAATATCTTTGAAATATAAAATTAAATTGTAGTGTTTCAATAAATTTTATGTTTGACGAACGTCGCTGGATGATTGAAGATGCCACAAGAATTTTTCATCGTCATTATTTTCTAGCTCTGCTTACGGTTTTGATTTTAGAATTGCATTTTGAAGATGGCTTCATGGAATATTGAGCAGTTTTGTAGCTGTAACTCAATTGCAACTGTACTTCCCGCCTTGTCTGAGTTAAGGTCTCGTTAATCTGTCAAAACTCAATAAGGGTAATGCAGGCTCAACTCTTTTATCTTAAGACATTTTAACTCATCAATCTAGATGCAGCTATGGGGGGCAAATCGAGCAATTTGGGGTCAACCGTCCACATGTTATCTCTTAAAAAACCTTTTCGATTTGCCAGTTTTTTTTAAAAAAAAATACAAACTTCTGAATTTATAAAGCCACATGTGCATGTGCTTAATTTCTGTTTTTAAAAATTCAAAAAAGAGCCAACATAAAAACTCAAAACACCTCAACGGTTTATGAAAAACATTTGTAAAGTTCTCAGTCTGTATTTTTATATTCATAAAACTAAGCGAGAGATGTGAGTTATTTCTTTGGAATTCATTAATACAATTTAGGGACAGAATCATTGTCAGGAGGAAGAATTTCTTAAATGCTGGATAATCATCACTCTAGGAAACTTCCTGCAATCTCCTTTTTTTTGAACTTTTTATTTATTTACATTTAAATTTAAATATGTACAAAGTTTCTATACATTTTGTTGCTTTTTGTTTTTTAAGGTTTCAGGCATTCAATTTGCCTTTTGTTACTTGAAATCTTGTTTTATTGAGAACAATTATCAAGAATTTGTTTTGCAGTACTTCCTGCAATCTCCATAAACTCACAAAAAACAAGATTTTCCAATCATATGATTTTCAAAATGTTAAAATCCAATGTTCAAATTCTTCTTAACATCTGAAAAATTAAAAATACTCAAATATCTTATCAGCATTTGCCAAAACAAGTGCTGTGACGAAAAAAAATCACTCACATGTCTACTTATCACTTAATAATGTAATTTAATTTTTATTATCACAAAAAATTATGTAACTTACACTACTGCTCTAATTACTTGATAATCTAATCTCTGTTTTGGGGAAGGTAGGAGGTCAGTTATTGGACTGTTGGATCCTTAATCTTAATCAGTTCCTTAGAATACCTTTAATAGCATTAATAGCTAGTCATCAATAGCTTTAAACTTATTTAATGCTCAAAAATTCTTAAAATAACCAATAAATATTAAATTCCTATTCTTGCATTGAGGCGTGCAGTCTTTCATCAAATTTTTAAATATCAATTAAATTCAAATCTGAAACATGTGTACAGGCTTGAAATTAAGCCACAATCCACCTTTCTTAATATTCAAAAACTCATTTGGATCAATCCTCAACTCCTCACTCGTCCTGCTATTCACAGTAATTTTGAAATTCTTCACAAGTTGTACAACAGCTGCTTTACATGCCATCGATGCAAATTTCATCCCCAAGCATTGTCTTGTGCCATTTCCAAATGGCAAGTATAAGCCATCATAGCTGTAGTGATGTGAACATCTTTCTGGTATGAATTCCTTTGGCTTTGGAAAATATTCTGGGTCATTTTGGATCTGATATAATGGAATGTAAACATTTGTTCCTTTTTCTATTAAGACTGTTCTTCCTTTTGTCACTTCTAGTCGAACATCTGACGTACATTCTTTTGATATTATTGTGAATGGTGGGTGTAGCCGCAATGTTTCTATGGAGATAAGAGAGATATTAATTACGTATATTTTGTTTTCTGATGGGAAATTTATATAGACATAGTTGGAAAATACCAGTTGTAAAATTGTAAAGACTTTAATGTGAGGTGTCTAAAAATAATTTGGATTATAATGCGCATTATCTGAAAACAATACATCATAATGCGCATTATTTGAAAATAAATCATTACAGTGCGCATTATCTGAAAATAATTTCAAATCACCTATCGCATTATACAAAAGTCATAAAATTCCCAACAATGCGGCATTTGTCTTCAGTTTATAAATATCATATCGTGATTAAATTCTTACCAGCTATGACAAGTTCAAGATAAGCCATTTCATTAAGCACATCATATGATATTTCGTCGTAAGTGTCAATATATCTATTAATTTCATCGCGCAGTTTGCACTGAACCCCTTCATTATTTGCAAGCTGATAAAGAGAAAATAAAAGAAAATTAAATTAGATAAAAGATTATTGATCCTAAGCCTTTCATAATTCTCACCTCATATAACGTATGTGCAATAAGAAGGCTTGTTGTTTCTAGTCCATCCGAGAAAAAAGTTGTCAAATGACCCGCAACGTCTTTATGCGACAATTTCTTTTTTTCCCGCAGGGAAATCACATAATCCAGAAAATCATCAACTTTAATTCCAGTGCGCTTTCTTAATCGCATTGAGCGCTCAAAAAAGTCGAGGAAAAATTCCTCAACGTCATCGGTTATGAACTTCATTGGAAGAAATTTACGACAAATTGGGAAAATTTCAGCAATAATCATGAACAAGACTGTCTTTTTTGGCGGTGATGACAACTTTTTCGACATTGTTCTGACTTTACAGCAGCCTGACAAACAATCTGAGTTGAGATTGAATATACAATTTGAGACGATGTCAGCTGTGAATCTGAGTGACAATTCTCGTGCTTCAAATGGCTGATTTATGTGATAAATGACTTGACTGTGTAAATTGTCGACAACCGATTCCATAATTGGATACATTGTCCTTAAACGGACTGATGAGAATGCTGTGGCAATTTCACTACGATATTCTTTCCATGAGTCGCCGCTTGCCAAAAATGGATTTCTCGTGAACAGCGGATCAATTTTCGGATTAAAAATCTTGCTAAATTCATTGGCACTAAAGTGATTGAATTTTCTGATTAAAACTTCATTGACTAGCTTTGGCTCGATGACCATTATTCGGGGCTCACGCATTTGGAAGATTCCGATGAAGTTTGCTGTTCCTTTGTATTTGCTGGAAGTTAAAGAGATGAGATTTTATTAATTTGTGATTTGCTTGCTCAAATTTGGTTTAATAATTAAAATTTGCATTCAGAATCATAGCTTGAGCATAGACAAGGCTGAAAACAAGCTTTTGACCGATTAATGCCCCAAAGTTCTATTCCCTGCATCACCACAGATAGTAAATCCTTCAAAGCTTAATATTCTGCATCGCAGTTTATTTTCTATTAATCCTAAGAAGGTCGATTCTTGCCTAAAATTAATTTTTAAGCCTCTGCGTTTGATTACAAATTTCAGTTATGTGATTCAATTACTCACTAGTCAAAACGTGACTGTTTACGATACAAAAATTGCGTCTCACAAATTTATTTTTATCAAAAAATACGAAAATAATTCTTCATTAAGTCTAAATTTGGAATATAAATTCATGGACATTTTAGAGGTATTTCCATTATTAAGCAATTTGTGAATTTTATGATAAGTGGTCTTAAAGGGGGATCTAGGAAGACTTTGATGATTGGGATATTTTTTTTATTGTATTTTTGAGTGTTTGATGGTGTTTTTTTTCTATTCCTTAAAAGATTTCTTGACCTTAGCCTAACAGTTTGTGACGTGAGATTTGGTGTATCAGTCTATATGAATGAGATACTGCTACTGCAAGAGTGTAGCCTCTAAGGCCGAGAGTGGTTCAGCTACAGGTCTTATATTTATTACTCTATTTTGGAAATACTTGGGTTCGATTCCTAATATGTCAATCGTCTGTTAATAGACTATGTCCATATGACAAGATAAGGTAACCGGTTGGGTTCCTTAACATCTCAACTAGTTTCCCGAATAGCACAAGTCAATTAATCAAAAGGGACTCAATTTGAGTACAGCATCATGCTAAAGTCAAACCAGCTTGGTGTCAGATTTCTATTTGATTCACCGAGTTGTGGTATTCAGGATATTAGTTGAGATGTTTAGGACCCCAACCTTATCATATCGATACGCTCTCAGATGATTTGATCTGTTTTAGGAATCGAACTCAAGTCTTTGTCAAATAGAGTTACAAATATAAGATTTGGAGCTTAACCACTCTCGGCCTCATAGGCCATACTCTCGCATACTGGCAGTCTCTCATTCCTATGAACTGATCCCTTAAACTAAGTTCAAGGCTATTCGAGTATGTTCCATAACTCTCTACATTTAAACAAGACCTTACTAAACTTCCCAAATCAAAAACCAATAATAATAAATTCTAATCAATTTACTCACTTATAAAGTTCAGTAAAATCTTCAGACACATGCCTCAGTCTTGTTATTGATTTTTTAAAATTACCAAAAAACAACACAGGTTTCTCAAATGGAACGCCACGAACTTGCCAAAAATCATAGTTCCACTTAAGATAATAATAAGTTATCGCTACAATAAATAACAGAAGTAAAATAGTCAACATTATTGTTTGAATTTTAGAGTAGTACTGACACATATCAAGCTTTATTTTCGATTTAAAATAGAAAATTTCCACAAATGTGATAAGAATTAAGGTCGATAAGATAGCTTTAAATCTATGCGTTGTGGGGGTCTAGTTAGAACTGGATATCGGAGATAAAGAATTCCCACCAGTCTAGACTTAATCTATTAAATCTTTAAATCTGAAGTCCGATTTATTTTTATTCCTAATTCAAAGGCTTAAAATTCACCCAAAGACCTCCAGTTTTAATGTTAAGGAATTCAGCTGCGTCGATGACGAATGGATTATCTTGGGTTTTTTGGTTGACAGTGACTACATAGTTTCCGATGATTGTAGCTAGAGCGGCTTTACTTTGTAAGAGGGCGAATCGCATGCCAAGGCAGATTCTGAATGGGAAAAAATTAGAAAAAAATTTAAAGTTTCAAAAAATTATTTGCATACCGCGGACCACCACCAAAAGGCATAAATACACATCGATCGACATAATCTTTCATAGCGCCATCATCAAATCTCTCAGGGTGGAATTTCTTTGGTTCCAAAAAGTTCTCAGGATCATAATGAACCTCCAAAATCGGGATATAAACATTAATTCCTTTCTCAACCGTCACTTTCTTTCCATCATATTCCAAATCAACATTTTCCGAGCACATTTTTGATGACGTCACAAGAGGTGGATGCATACGTAAAGCTTCATGAAACACCTGATCAAGATAAGACATTTCTTGGAGCTTTTCGAAACTTAGTTGTCCGTTTTCGTCACGATTGTTGTTGATTTCATTACGTAATTTATCCTGGACACGTTTGTTGTTTGCAAGCTGATTGAATGAATGAAAAAATAAAAATGATAACAAATTTGATAACAGCACAAGTCCATAAATGTAGCATAATTCCATATATGTATGTTGTTATCATTTTGTTCCCAAATTGAGAATTTTGATTAATTGAAATTACTTTTTCAGCTACATAAGGTCATTGAATTGTCACATAATAAAAAGCATGGGTTGTCACCGTCTTTCTCTCTTCTTTTGAATTTTTCATGTCTAGTTCTTGGCATGCATGCTTTCATTATGACAACTAAAATAAATCCTCACCTCATAAAGAGCATGTGAAATAGCAATCGACGACGTCTCAAAACCATCACTAAAGAAGCTGATCGTGTGCGATGCCATCTCCAATTCATTTATATGCTTCTTGTTCCTTAATTGAATGATGTAGTCAAGGAAGTCTTCACGTTGGACTTTATTTTCATCTCTATACTTTAGTGCCTGCTTCATCAAGTCGACAAAGAATTGTTGAATTTCCATCTTTGTGAATTGAACCTTCATGAATTTTTTAAGGATTGAAAATGAGCCAATGAGTACTAATTTGATGAAAACAATTGTAGATGGTGACAGCAACTTTCGGCCCATTTCTCGAATTTCAGCATTTTCCTTGGTAAATGACTCAGCGTCGACGCCAAAAATACAATTGCTGACCACATCCGTTGTGTATTTTGCAGCTAATTCACGAGCGTCACATGGTTTGGATTTTTTGGACTCATTGGCAATATACTTAACCATTCTGGTACTTACATCTTGAATAAGTGGATAAAGTGCTTTCATGCGATTCACAGTAAATGCTGGAGTGATCTCAGCTCTCTTTTCTTTCCATTCGTCGTCTTTTAAAAAGAATGGATTCTTTGCAAACAACGGATCTTGTTCTGTATCAATCATATCTGAAAATTCACTGTTACGGAAGTAATGAAACTTTCGGATGAGAACATCTTTAATTAATTCAGGTTCCAAAATTATTAAACGAGGGTCACGCATTTGAATAATTCCAACAAATGGAGTCTTGGCCTTGAATTCTCTGGATGGAAATGTAAACTTATTAAACTGAATAAACACAAAAAAAAATCACTCACTTGTAAATTTTTTGGAAGTCATAAGCAACATTCTGCTTTCTCATGATTCCATTTGGTAAGTCACCAAGAAACACTTTAGCTTTTGGTCCTGGAACTCCACGTTTGGACCAGTAATTGAAATTCCATGTCAAATAGACATAGAGAAGTGCCACTAAGGCTATGATCAAGTAAATGAAGATCATTTTTTAACTGAGCGAATTTTTGGAATCGATGAAGTCAGACTGAATAAAAATGATTAAGCGCTCCAACTTAAATAACATTTTTTTTATCAATGCTCAATATTTTTTTTATCTCTACTTACTCTCTTGTTGAAGAAATTCTCTCTGTTTTGATTATTTTGATGCACAGAGAGATTTTGATGCTAAATTTTATTTTTAGAATTCAACATAATTTTTGTGATGTGATTTATTCATTTTTAAGCACGTGTTGAGTCATTTAAATTGAACTATACAAAGTTTAATATGATGGCGAGTCTCAGATCAATTGAAATAAGTTTTTACAAATAATTGACTGAATAGCAACTTTAAATAAGCATAAAAACATCATTTTTTAGACCAATTCAGGTTCTTTGGAGTCTGGTAAGGTCTTGAATGAGTCATGTACTGCTCTGAGGTCTAAAAAGTTAGACAGACACTTCCTGTACTCATCATAATTGATTTGATTACCAATTTTTATAAATCAAAGTCCAAAAATAAATTCTTAAAAGCTATCGACAATCCCGATCGGTACACATTGATATTCATTGAAATTTTTGTCACCCGGCGACCGAGTTGATAGTATAATTAGAATCGAAATGGTACCCAAACGCCTGCCGTTCGGTTCTAGTTTTACAATCATCTCGTCTCTTGGCATACCAAAGTTTAAAAGCTATCGACAATATTTATTGTTTTCAGCAAAGTTTGGGACTTATAAGGACATATTTTTCCAAAACGAAAAGAATTGGTTGTGAACAGATAGCCAAAAAGGGCAATAAATGAATTTCTTTCCAATTCTCACGTAAAATTTAATTTTTTATCTTCTATCGGATGTTTTTGATTCTCGTTCAAAGGTTTTAAGTTCAATCACAAACCTCATCGAAGCGATTTTCTGGAATGTCCAAGGAAATAGGACTAGGGGCCGACGGAGAATTACTTGGCGCACAATTGTTGAACGGGAGGCGGAACAACAGAACAAGAAGCTGCAGGAAATAGCAGCTTTGGCCCAGAATTGAGTGCGATTCAAATGCTTTGTGGACGCCCTACGCTTCATAGTGGAGCAATAGGAACCCATCATCACAAACCTCATGACTTTATGTTAAGATACTCTTTAGGGGGTTTTTGGATTGACTGACACTTTAAAGTTTTCAATAATTTTAAGTCGAGAAAAAATCCCAGCCTTGGAATCTAGGCAGTATACCGCCAACTTCCATACAAATTTCTCCAAATACCGACTTTTAAATACGGCCTAGTTTCCGAGCCTGAAAAAAACCTTAGGATAAAATTGACAAAATTAGAAATAAAATGCAAAACATAGAAATTAATAAAAAAAGTTTCTTTAATTCAAAAATAAGCTTGACATTAGCATGATATCTTCTTACTCCTCACTCAAAGGCTTAAAGTCCAGCCACAATCCACCTGTTTTGATATTCAAGAATTCTTTGGGATCAATAACTAATGGATTGTCTTGTGTCTTTGAATTGACAGTCACTTCGAAGTTTCCAACAATAGCAGCTAGAGCAGCTTTACTTTGAAGTAAGGCGAATCTCATTCCTAGGCAAATTCTGAAAATCACAAGATTAGTTTAAGATTGTCGCAAAAAATCTATAAAAGCTTACCTCGGACCACCCCCAAATGGCATCAATACGCATCGGTCCAGATAATCCTTCATAGCTCCATCATCAAATCTCTCTGGATGGAAATTCTTTGGTTCCAAAAAGTTCTCGGGATCATAATGAACACTCAAATATGGAATAAAAACACTCATTCCTTTCTCAACAGTGACTTTCTTGCCATCGTACTCCAAGTCAACATCTTCAGAACATAATCTTGATGAAGTCACAAGAGGTGGATGCATACGTAGAGCTTCATGAAAGACTTGATCGAGATAAGACATTTCTTGGAGCTTTTCGAAACTTATTTGACCATTTTTGTTGGCATTATTCTTGATTTCTTCGCGTAGTTTATCCTGGACACGTTTGCTCTTCCCGAGCTTTTAAAAATTACACACAAAAATTGATTAGATATTGATAAAAAATTATATCCATTAAGTTGGATAAGGTGCAAAGTCACGTTGTTGCAAAACAATGATTTTTAAAGCAAACTAGGCTGAGTTGCCTAAACCGTGACTTTTAGAACCTATTTAAATGAATTTTTGACTCATTGTCATCCATACCTCATAAAGAGCATGTGAAATAGCAATCGATGACGTCTCAAAACCATCACTGAAGAAGCTGATTGTGTGCGATGCCATCTCTAATTCACTAATGTTCTTCTTGTTCCTCAGTTGAATGATGTAGTCAAGAAAATCTTCACGTTGGATATTATTCTCGTCTCTGTACTTCAATGCCTGTTTCATCAAGTCAACAAAGAACTGCTGAATTTCTATTTCAGTAAATTGAATCTTTATGAACCGTTTTAAAAATTTGAAAGATTCAATAAGGATCATTTTGATGAAAATCCATGGGGACGATGAGAACAGTTTTTTGCCCATTTCACGAATTTTAGCATTTTCCTTAGTAAATGACTCAGCATCAACTCCAAAAATACAGTTGCTGACCACATCCGTTGTGTATTTTGCGGATAATTCACGAGCATCGAATGGATCGGATTTTTTGGACTCAATTGTGATGTACTTGACCATTCTGGCACTGACATCTTGAATAAGTGGATAAAGTGCTTTCATGCGGTTCGTAGTAAATGCTGGAGTGATCTCAGCTCTCTTTTCTTTCCATTCGTCGTCCTTTAAGAAGAATGGATTCTTTGCAAACAGCGGATCAAGCTTTGTGTCAATCATATCTGCAAATTCATTATTTTTAAAGTAATGAAATTTACCGACAAGAACATCTTTAATTAATTCTGGTTCTAAAATCAATAAGCGTGGGTCACGCAGTTGAATGATGCCAACGAATGGAGTCTTGCCTTTATATTTGCTGAAATTGAACAGATGTGAACAATTTAATTGAGAGATTAACTTAAATAACTTACTTATATAGCCGCTCAAAATCGTATGCCATATTTTCCTTCCTTAAAATTCCATTTGGTAAATCACCGAGTAGAACCTTAGCTTTTGGTGACGGAACACGCCGTTTAGACCAATAACTGAAATTCCATATCAAATACAAATAAAGCAATCCAGCAGCAGCGAAAGTCAAAATAATGAACAAAATCATTTTACGACTCAACTTCCGAAATGTTAGAATTAGACTGAGCATATTTTTTGTCACTCTCGCTCATAAATCTGTCTCTTTGAGAGACTTTTTCTCTCTGTTTTTATTTTATTTTTTTTTTGTCCACGCAAAGTTTAATTTTAGCTGCTGAACATAATTTATCGTTGAGTTCTTCTCATTTTCATTCACACATGTGCTGAGAATATTAAACTTCAGTGTTTGAATTTGTTTAAAGGAAGTCATTTGTAGTTTTTATTTGAGTTTCGTATAGCTTGATACTTATTAAGTCAAAATATATTCTTTGTTTGGGGCCATTCGATTATCACGTAACGTAAGAAAACCAATATTTGTGATTTCTCTATCTCCTTGCAATTTTATAGAACTGTCATAAATCTCGAATACCCCCCCCCCTTTTTTTTTTTCTTTTTTTGAAATATTTCTTCAATTTAATATGGATTTTGAAAACAAATTACAAATCAACCGATCCTCTACTTCTAAAAATTCAAACCACTTTCAAAAAAGTTCTAGCTCCACTGCAGCTAAAACTTGTAGCTGTGACCCCCATGCTTAGTATTGTTACATAATAAATCAACAACCTCCTTTTATAAAGTAAAGTTAGTGTAGATAAAAAGTAAATCTTTAGATTAGATACCATGATAAGGCATGGATTATAATCAATAAATGTATAATTTTTTTTATTTATTTTTAAACATGAAACTTATAGCCAGGGGTGTAGGAAGTGACATAATTAGACAGAAGATCTGAATTACAATTTGATATAAATTTGATAAAAGTGACTCAAAATTTTTAAGCTTAGGGGAGAACAGCTTGATGAGAAAAGGAAAATTCTCATAAATTTTTAAACAATTTCTTTCAAAATTGATTAAAAAACTTCTCAACCAAGGCGTGGAAACTCAGGTTTGATCCTGAAAAATCCCAAAAATCCAAAAAAAATGAAAACCTGAAATCCCTTTTAAATCCCTGATGGATTTGATGAATAAATTCAGGTTTTCATGTTTGTTGGCTCAGGAATTTTTTAGGATTTTTGGGATTTTTCGGGATTAATCCTGAGTTTACACGCCTTGTTCTCAACAAATTTTTTCCCACCATGTTGTTTTCCCCTCAAACTCAGCACTCTCTTTTGCTTGTTGTGGATAAAACTCCTCTCTCTTCCTGTCTAGATCATAACTACAACCCTGATATTCGTCATTTAAAGTATAAATCGTTCTTCATTCTTCATTCAAAGGCTTAAAATTCAACCACAATCCTCCTACTTTGACGTTTAAAAACTCCTTTGGGTCGATGATCAATGGATCTGCTGTCTTCTCGTTGACTGATATTTCAAAGTTATGGACGATTGCAGCTAAAGCAGCTTTGCTTTGTAATAAGGCGAATCTCATGCCGAGACAGATTCTGTAACGGAAAGATTTAATTATTAATTTGGAAAGAATTGTTCAAGGGTTCAAAACTCAGTTGATTAGATGCATAAACTTAGTTTGAGAGGATTGAATCGTGTCAATTATGACATAAAAACCCAGCTTTATAGCACCAAATATTTTTAATCTAATTCCTACCTCGGTCCAGCTCCAAAAGGCAAAAAGACACATCGATCAAGATAATCCTTCATAGCTCCATCATCAAACCTTTCAGGATGGAACTTTTTCGGTTCCAAAAAGTGTTGCGAGTCATAATGGAGTGAATAAATAGGAATATAGACACTTAAACCCTTCTCGACAGTAACTTTCTTTCCATCATATTCAAGATCTGTAGTTTCTGAGCACATTTTTGATGTCATTACCGCTGGCGGGTGCAAACGCAAAGCTTCATGGAATACTTGGTCAAGATAAGTTAATTCAGACAAGGTTTCAAAGTTTATTTGGCCATTGTTGTCCCAATGATTGTTTACTTCATCGCGTAGTTTATCTTGGACACGCTTACTCTTTCCAATCTTTGATGGGAATGAAAAATTTGAAATTTAAAGCCATGAGAAATATTAACAAAAATGTAGGCATAGAAACACGGCATACAAAGTGCCAGTGTTGAGCAAATCTATGTCTGGATATAAACATATCCTCACCTCATAAAGAGCATGTGCAATAGCGATTGACGACGTCTCAAAACCATCTAAAGAGAAATTAAAAGTGTGAATTGAGTACAGCGGCATGAAGTGTCCAATCAGTCTGAAACTTTGCTAGAGTTAAGTCATTATTATGACCAATTGTGTACCTAAACTAGATGAAAGCAAGGAGATCAGCCCCACATTTTCCTGCTGTTTACATACTTGCAGCCATAGGAGCTGGTTTCTATGGCTAGGTAAACAATCTCTGATAATTGTTTTAAATTATCCTGAATGACACAAGTCGGTAAATTGATCAGAAATCCGGTACCAAGACGTTGTGATCCTGGCATGGTGCTAGCATCATGCCAGAGTCATGCTGGCTTGGTGTCGGGTTTCTATTCAATATTGAAGATCAACATTAAACCTAATTCTTACAAATCATGCATCAAGGCATGGAAAATATCCCAAATATCCCATATATCCCAAAAATATTCAAAATAATCCCTGAGCTTGTATGCATTAGAATTGAGATATCCCATCATATCCTGAAATTACACGTCCAATACACTAAGGATACGTTGGGATATCTTTGCTATCGTGCAAACATGCTCAGGAATTTTTTGAATATTTTTGGGATTTATGGGATAAATGGGATAGTTTCCACGCCTTGTCATGCATTAATCTTTCTATCATACCTGTAAAGAAGCTGATCGTATGCGCTGCCATCTCCAATTCACTAATGTTCTTCTTGCTTTTCAAATGAATGACATAATCGAGAAAATCTTCGCGTTGAACATTTTTTTCTTGTCTGAACTTCAATGCCTGTTGCATAAGACTAACAAAGAAGTCTTTCACATCATCTGGCATAAATTGAATTGAAATGAATCTCCTCAAAAATGGAAATGACTCAGCAAAGAACATTTTGATGAACAGCTTTGTTGATGGTGCTATGAGTCTTCTGCCCATCTCACGAATTTCAGGCTTTTCTTTGGTAAAAGATCCAGCATCGATTCCAAAAATACAGTTGCTTACCACATCCGTTGTGTATTTTGCTGATAATTCACGAGCATCGAATGGTTCGGATTTTTTGGACTCAATTGTGATGTACTTGACCATTCTGGCACTGACGTCTTGTATAAGTGGATAAAGTGATTTCATGCGGTTTACAGTAAATGCTGGAGTGATCTCAGCTCTCTTTTCTTTCCATTCCTCATCTTTTAAGAAGAATGGATTCTTTGCAAACAGTGGATCTTGTTTAACATCAATCATGTCAACAAACTCGCTGTTGCGAAAATTATTAAATTTTCTTATGAGAACATCTTTAATTAATTCAGGTTCCAAAACTACTAAACGAGGGTCACGCGTTTGAATTATTCCCACAAATGGAGTTTTGGCCTTAAAATCGCTGGATGTGAATATTTTATTAAATTAGTGATCTAATGGAATAAATATCAAAATTTTCTTCTTACTTATAAATTTTTTCGATGTCGTAGACCACATTTTCTTTTCTAGTCAATCCATTTGGTAAGTCACCAAGTAAAACTCTAGCTTTTGGTGCTGGAACTCCGCGTTTAAACCAGTAATCAAAATTCCATGTCAAATACACATACAAAAGCACAACTATAGCAACTATAGCAACTATTAAGAATATGAAAAAAATCATTTTTGTCGTCCGATCAGCGCGAGCGTTGGAGAAGAACTGATGAAAAAAATAGGCGCTTCCATGTGAGATATTCGTTTAAATTCTCAATTTTATTGTTCTTCTTTTTTAATTTAAAAATTCTCTCTGTTTTGATCTGAAATGAAAAAAGTTGGGTATAGCGGCATGACTGAATATCATGTATATGCACAACACATGTGATAATAATGTTATAGAAAAAATTAGAATTTGTTCATAAATGACGTTCGTCAGTTGGGTTTAGAGGACTAGCATGGAATAGAGTGATAATAATTAGCAGGGGCAGGGGAGTAGCCAGGGGGGGATTTGGGGGACAAACAGAAATTTCTTTATTTTGCTAGGGTTTTTGTGATCCCCAGCCCCCTCCCCCTGGATACGCGCCTGACAGGGGCTGATTTTGGGGTAAAGGCTATTTTATTTGATTTAAGCTTTTAATGGCTACCCGAAGATCAGTGGTGACCAACCTTTTTTGAGCCACAGCACCTTGAGGTTAAAGCAAGACAAAACCTGCACACAGCATTCGTGGGATTTTCTGAATTTTTTACTAAATTTACTGCAGCACATTTGTTGACCAACACTGCTTTAGAGTATAAATGAAATTCGACTGTGACTAAGACATATAATTCATAATTATAGAAACCGACCCCAGAATTAATCCATTAATCCAATCATTTGTGTGTGATGCCTAAAAACTTCAAAATATCACAAATAAATTATTAATAATTTTTATTCAAGTTTTGTTGTCAAGTTGAACAATTTTCATCAAAATAAAATAAAGTTATTGAAATACTAAATAGAAAGAATGAATCTCAATCAGATAGCCATAAATGGCATTCATTACTTAATAAAGATGTGTCAAATGTTAAATTAAATTAATAATTTTTGCTTGTGTTATCAATTGTCACACTAAATTGTATTTTTGATGGCATCTTATTCTTTTTTTAAAGGTTTAAAGTTCAGCCACAATCCGCCAACTTTAAAGTTCAAAAATTCCTTTGGATCAATGATGAATGGGTTGTCTTGTGTTTTCTCATTGACTGACATTTCAAAGTTATGGATAATTGCAGCAATAGCAGCTTTGCTTTGCAGTGAAGCGAATCTCATACCGAGACAGATCCTGTAGGAATTAAAATATTGATCAAGAAACTTTAAATATTAAAATTTAAATTCATACCTCGGCCCAGCACCAAATGGCATCAAGACACAACGATCCAAATAATCCTTCAAAGCTCCGTCATCGAACCTTTCAGGTTGGAAGCTCTTTGGTTCCAAATAGTATTCAGAATCATAATGGATCTGCATAATTGGAATAAAAACATTCTTTTCTTTCTCAACAGTAACTTTCTTCCCATCATGTTCAAGATCAACAGTTTCTGTGCACATTCTTGATGTTAAAAGTGCCGGTGGATGCAATCTTAAAGCTTCATGAAATACTTGATCAAGATAAGCGATATCATTCAATGTCTCAAAGTTAAGGAGTCCATTATCATCACAATGTTTGTTTACTTCCACACGGAGTTTATCCTGAACACGTTTATTCTTGGCAAGCTGATTAATGGAATGAAAAAAAAATAATTTTGAGAATAAAATGATAAGAAAATTGATAAGAATTGAAGTCAATATATGTAGCATAATTCCACATATGAATGTTGTCATCAGCCTTCCCTAATATAGAATTATGCAGTATTTTGATTATTTTCAATGAGTTATGTAAAAATACAGTCATCAGGGCACCACCACAATGCCTTGTATGTACCAGAATGATGCAAGTCCTTACCTCGTAAAGAGCATATGAAATAGCAATCGACGATGTCTCAAAGCCATCTGAAAATATGATAGTGTGACTAAAGTACCACGGTAGGTGTGTAGCAAGGAGGGTCTTGTCCATCTCTTAAGCGTTTTAGACCGTGCAGTTCAAAACGTTTAAGGGGGGACAAATCCCTCCTGGCCAAGCGCATGTACCACAGCATACAGTGTGTAATCATGGGATGGTTTCTATAGCTTTCTATAACCCGAGGCATCTTATCCTATTCTCAGATAAATTTTATTTGATTCCCATTTTTTAATTACATCAAATTTTTACCCTAGAGTGCCCTAGAGTGGTCGCAGATTTTAAAACTTTTCGAGAATTAAGTCAATATTACGAAAAATTGTCACCTTACTTTAAAGACGTAATTTGAACTTATTTCAGACCAATTGAACATTTCATGTTCATACTTTATTCATACCTGTGAAGAAGCTGATCGTGTGCGATGCCATCTCCAATTCGCTGATGTTCTTCTTGTTCCTTAATTGAATGATGTAGTCAAGAAAGTCTTCACGTTGGACATTATTTTCTTTCCTATACTTCAATGCCTGTTGCAAAAGATTCACAAAAAAGTCCTTTATATCATCCGGCATAAATCGAATTTTAATGACACCTTTGAGGAACTTGAAAGATTCGACGAGGAAAATTTTGAATATTACTGTGGGTGACGGTGCTAAGAGTTTTCTGCCCATTTCGCGGATTTCAGGCTTTTCTTTAGTAAATGATTCAGCATCGATTCCAAAAATACAGTTGCTGACCACATCCGTTGTGTATTTTGCAGATAATTCACGAGCATCAAATGGATCGGATTTTTTGGACTCATTTGTGATGTACTTGACCATGCGAGAACTGACGTCTTCGATAAGTGGATAAAGTGCTTTCAAGCGGCTAGTTGTGAATGCTGGAGTGATCTCAGCTCTCTTTTCTTTCCATTCCTCATCTTTTAAGAAAAATGGATTCTGTGCAAATAATGGATCTTGTTCAGTATCAATCATGTCAGGAAATTCGGTGTTACGAAAACTGTTAAATTTTCTGATGAGAACGTCCTTGACAACTTCAGGTTCCAGAATAAGCAGACGTGGATCACGTGTTTGAATGATACCAACAAATGGAGTTTTACCTTTGAAATCACTGGATATAAATTTTTTTATTAATGATTTATGCAAAAACATAATAACTTCAACCTACTCATATATAACTTGGAAGTCATAAATTAAATGCTTCTTTCTTGTCAATCCATTTGGTAAGTCACCAAAAAGAACTTTTGTTTTTGGCGCTGGAATTCCACGTTTTGTCCAATAGTCAAAATTCCATGTCAAATACACATACACAAGCGCAACTATGGCTAAAACTATCAAGATTATTAAGAACATTTTATTTTTCGTCCGATCAGTGCGAGCGTTGAAGAAAAACTGTTGAGAAATAATTTAGAGCTTCCAAATGAGTTATTTCGTTTCCATTCTCACTTCTCTAAGTAAAGTTCTCTCTGTTTATGTTTTGAGACTTAAAAGCAGATTGTTTATACCGGCATGACATAATACTTTGTTTACTATAGCTTGTGACGATGAAGGCTATCATGTACAGTCGTGATTTTTATTAGAGGTTTGTTGCGAACGCTCAAAATACAATGAACTTAATAACATGGAAAAAAGATAAGAATGTGTTTTTGATTAGATAGCCATAAATGACAGTCATTACCAAATTGAGAATGTCAAATGGCAAACATTATTTGATTCTTTTGACTTGTGCTATCAATTGAGTGTAAAATTTAATTTCACAACATTTGGTAATTCCTAAATTGATGAAACTTAGTGAATTGTGACTTTTGACGAACAACCAGTTAAAGATTGACTAAGCAGCTACTGATGTGAATTTAGCCCCAAAATTCCAGCCCAAATTTTATTGACCGACATTTATAAATAAAATACGACCGATAAAAATCGACCGACAAATTAAAAGTAAGACCACACGACAAATGTCGACCGACAAATGTAAGCATAAGAAATGTCGGTCGATAAAAATTAAGGCTGGAATTTTGGGGCCAAGTTCACATTAGTTAAACAGCAATGAATCTATTAAGATTTCTAGACTTTCGAATTTTATTTCACCTTTTTCAAAAAAAAAAATCTACAATTACTATTAATAGCTGTGTTCTCAAAGACACTCAGCCCCTCCCCCATCGAGCCACATCACGATATCATGAAGGATATCCATTATTGAGTCACCAAAACACATCACGAGCAATGTAAGATTTGCTATTCAAAGCAACCACTTCCACAAAAATGTCAATTTCTATTCCTTTTTCAATGACTTAAAATCAAGCCACAATCCACCAACCTTCACGTTTATAAATGCAACTGGATCGATGACCAATGGATTGTTTTGTGTCTTCTTGTTGACAGATATTTCAAAATTTTGAACAATTGCGGCAATAGCAGCTTTAGTCTGCATCAAAGCGAATCTCATTCCGAGACAGATTCTGAAACAAGTCAATGAAATGAAATAGAAATTAAACTTTAAATGTCAATTACCTCGGTCCAGCACCAAATGGCATGAAAACACATCGATCAAGATAGTCCTTAATAGCTCCATCATCGAATCTTTCTGGATAGAATTTGTCAGGTTCAAAATAGTAATTAGAATCGCAATGAACTTGCAAAATTGGAATAAAAACGTTAATTCCTTTTTCGACAGTTACTCGTTTTCCGTCAAATTCAAGATCAGTTGGTTCTGTGCATTGCTTTGATATCATGACAGCTGGAGGATGGAGTCTCAAAGATTCGTGGAAAACTTGATCAAGATAAGGAAGTTCAGTCAATGTTTCATAGCTTATAAGCCCACTTTTGTTGCAATTTTTGTTTATTTCGTCGCGAAGTTTATCTTGGACACGAGTGTTGTTGCCTATCTGTGGATGAAAAGTGTCAAGAAAATAATTTGGAATTGTTTCCAGTCTTAAAAGTTGAAGTCTTTACCTCATAAAGAGCATGTGAAATAGCGACTGATGATGTTTCAAACCCGTCTGAAAATATTAAAAGTTATGTTTTAAGTCCAGCAGCATGGAAATCAAAATCAATACATAACTTTGTCGAGGCTTAATTCTGACAATATCTGAAGGTAAATCTACACTTCAAGAAATAATACGTACCAGAAAAGAAGCTCATCGTATGTGATGCCATCTCCAATTCACTGATATTCTTCTTATTCCTCAACTGTATGATATGATCGAGGAAATCTTCACGACAAATTTTCTTCTCTTCTCTGTGCTTTAATGCCTGCTGCATAAGGTTCACAAAAAAATCTTTAACGTCATTAGGCATGAATTGGATTCGCATAAGTTTTCTCATGAATGGAAATGATTCAGCAAGGAAAAGTTTAACTACGTTTGAAAAATTTGGTTCCAAAATTCTTTTTCCCATTTCACGAATTTCTGGTTTTTCTTTTGTGAATGATTCAGCATCGATTCCAAAAATACAGTTGCTGACCACATCTGTTGTGAATTTTGCAGCTACTTCAAGTGAATCTAATGGTTCATTCTTTTTGGATTCATTAATTATATACTTAATCATATGAGCACTTAAATCTTGAATAATTGGATATAAAACTTTCAAACGATTCGATGTAAATGCTGGAGTTATATCAGCTCTCTTTTCCTTCCACTCTTCATCCATAAGCAAAAATGGATTCTTAGCAAATAATGGATCAAGTTTTGTGTCAACAATTTCAACTAATTCAGCATAACGAAAGCAGTTGAACTTTCTAATCAGAACGTCTTTAATGACTTCAGGTTCCAAAATCAATAAGCGAGGAACGCGCGTTTGAATCATTCCAACAAATGGAGTTTTTGATTTGAAATTGCTGTTTCGAAAATATTAAATTAGGAAGACATATTAGGCACAATGGCTGCAACAACTTACTTGTAAATTTTTCCAATGTCGTAAATCACATTTTCTGTCTTTAATAATCCATTTGGTAGATCACCAAGAAGAACTCTTGCTTTTGGTGATGGAACACCACGCTTGGTCCAATAATCAAAATTCCAGGTCAAATAGATATACACAAGTGAAAGTAATAGAAATAATATAAAAATCATCGTTTAAACAGCAATATCTATTGAGTCTGATTGGTAAATAAAATTTATCACTGATTTAGGAATCACTAGTTCCACAATGTTGTTTAATTGATTCTCACAAGTGAACGGAATGTTAAATAAATAAATACTAAGTGAGTTTTAAGCGTTTTAAGTAAAAATTCATGCTTTTATTGAAATTATTCAATGCTGAAATGATAAGATTTGTTCCTGATAAGAAAGCTTTACTAAAGTATGTGTCAAATGTCAATTTATCGAATTTCATTTTATTATGAAATTCATTTTTTTGCAAACTTCCGAACCACTTAATATCGGTGCCAGATCCTCTTTTTATTCTTCACTCAATGGTTTGAAATTCAGCCACAATCCACCAACTTTGATGTTCAAGAACTCTTTTGGATCAATGATCAATGGATTGTCTTGAGTTTTCTCGTTGACTGAAAACTCAAAGTTACGAACAATCGCAGCAAGAGCAGCTTTACTTTGCAATAAGGCAAATCTCATTCCGAGACAGATTCTGAAATTAAGGACAAAAGTTTCAAATTAAAAACAGAATCCTACTATAGAATCGGAGTTGTAGCAGGAACAGAAGCGAACAATGGTGCCATATATACTTGATGAATATATAGAACTAGCATTTCTAGTTTCTGGCTCTTGCTGCCAGCTGCTACTCAGTCAATACTGATCTATGAATAGAAAGGAGTATTCATCTCATGGAGCTCTTGAAACTGTTTCCTTCTCACTAAGCTGAGAATTAACCCCCTAGCTACATATAATTCCCATGACAATCAATCAATAAGCTAAATTACATAAAATCATTTCCAAATCTCAACATACCTTGGACCAGCACCAAATGGCATAAAAACACATCGATCAAGATAGTCCTTCATAGCACCATCATCAAATCTCTCAGGTTGGAAGCTAGTTGGTTCCAAAAAGTACTCAGAATCATAATGGATCTGCATTAGTGGAATGTAGACATTTATTCCTTTCTCGACACTAACTTTCTTCCCATCATGTTCAAGGTCAACTGCTTCCGAACACATTCTTGATATCATAGCTGCTGGTGGATGTAATCTGATAGCTTCGTGGAAAACTTGATCAAGATAAAGGATATCATTCAATGTCTCAAAATTAAGGAGTCCATTATCATCACAATGTTTGTTTACTTCGTCGCGAAGTTTATCTTGGACACGTTTATTCTTGGCATTCAAGAAAGTCTTCACGTTGAACTTTATTCTCATTTCTGTATTTTAATGCCTGCTGCATAAGATTGACGAAAAATTCCTTGACTTCAATCTGCATAAGTTGAATCTTGATGAATCGTTTCAAAAACTTGAAAGATGCAATAAGGATCATTTTGATGAAAATCCATGGAGAAGATGAGAAAAGTCTTCTGCCCATTTCACGGATTTCAGGCTTTTCTTTAGTAAATGATTCAGCATCGATTCCAAAAATACAGTTGCTGACCACATCCGTTGTGTATTTTGCGGATAATTCACGAGCATCAAATGGATCGGGTTTTTTGGATTCAATGGTTACATACTTGACCATTCTGGCACTGACGTCTTGAATAAGTGGATAAAGTGCTTTCATGCGGTTCGTCGTGAATGCTGGAGTGATTTCAGCTCGTTTTTCTTTCCATTCTTCATCTTTTAAGAAAAATGGATTTTGTGCAAATAATGGATCTTGTTCTGTATCAATTATGTCTGCAAATTCGCTATTACGAAAATTATTAAATTTTCTGATGAGAACATCCTTGACAACTTCGGGTTCCAAAATTAGAAGGCGTGGATCACGCGTTTGAATTAGACCAACAAATGGAGTCTTTGCCTTGAAGTTACTGAAATTCAATCTATAAATAATCTAGTTAAATAAACAAAAAGTTCATCTCACTCGTAAAGCACTTGAATGTCATACGCAACATGCTTCTTTCTAGTTAATCCATTCGGTAAGTCACCAAAAAGAACTTTTGCTTTTGGCGCTGGAATTCCACGTTTTGTCCAATAGTCAAAATTCCATGTCAAATACACATACAAAAGTGCAATTATTGCAAGCATTAAGAATATAAAAATCATTTTAAGCTGTCTAAACTGCGGGAGCGTTCAAGCAAGACTGAGGAGCAAAATTTCTCGCACACGATCGACGCTTAAATTTTTTTGGACTTCTCCGCATTGAAAATTCTCTATGTTTTGATTGGATTTTGTATACAAATGATTTTTTTATTCATAGAACTTTGGTATATGGGGTGTATGTATAAACTGTTGATAAAGTCGCGCGAGCTTTTTTCTGTTTACTCAGGCTTCTAGCATATATTGTGAATATCAAATTTAATGGCATCGAAGAAGATGTTTTCAGTAGAACTCACTATCGGCCAGAAATGGAAAATTTTTCCAAAAATTATTTCTACAGCTTATATGATAGTCCTTATTCTGCCCTACATTTACGTTCTTAAAACTTTGCCCAAGTCGACAGCGTGTCCGAGATATGGCACTTCAAAGTTGGTCAGACGACCATTTTCACGTTACATTGAAAATGCTCTCACCAGTCACTGGATGGATGAATCTCCTTCAATTTTTTTTTGGTAATAGCTTTAAATAGTTCCTTCATTTTAAGGTATAAACAATTGCAAAAAACTTTGGAAAATTTTGTGAAAAACTTGATTTTTCTCAAAAACCACGTGTTCGTCATACTTCCGTTTGTGTAGGTCTTCACAAGCACAACCAAAGTTACTAATTTCTTTTTTATATTAAAGATTACATCAAAAGCTATAACTTTTGCATACATGTCGTATAATTTTAACAAAGTTTTGGTAGTGAAAAAAATTTTTTTTATAAAAAAAACACCAATTTTTTGACAAAAATCGCTGTAGTGCTCCAGGGATACCCATGGTAGTGGAATTTTATTTCACATTTAGAAAGCTCTCTGGATATGCTATCAATTAATGCAGTAAAATGAACAAGTGTTCTCTTGGCAAAGAGCACTTTTTTGACTCTGAAAGTCGTATGTCGAGCAAGGTCAAAAAAGAAAAATAATCATAAAAATTTCAGTTTTAAGTAAAATTTAATTTTTTTAAGTTAGATTGATAGATCTTTTTAAAACGCGTCTTTTGAGTATAAATATGTCATAGTTTTGTCAAGTTTCATGATCAGTTTTTTAAAAAAATAGTTTTTTTCAAAAAAAAACTTGAAAAATAAAGTATTTGACTTTAGAATTTCATAAAATGCATTCTTTTTAACATTTTTTTCACTATTTTGTCTAGTTTTGCTCCTCGTTTTTTCCTAAACATAAATCAATAAGAACTTAACATAATTGAAGCCATTTGGAGGTTAAATTGAGTTAAAAATCGTTTAAAATTTTTGTATTTCTTAAATAGTTCTTTACACAAGTATCTAAGATATAAAGTGTTGCATAGTTTTGAAAAGGTATTAAAATTTCCAATATGTTAACATGAAAATTTTAGGAAAATTTTCAAGTAATATAGTCAATTTGGGTAAAAAACGCATTTTATATATGCTAGTTTTTAATGTTTTTCGTTTTTCTCAGCAAAGACTTTATGAAAAACTCTCAAAGTTTGCACACTTATTTGTTATATAAATGTTAATGACTCGTATAAGTTTTGGAATTTTCTATTGAGTTTTTCATGAGTTCTCCAAATCTGAAATTTTCAATATTAAAAATCCTTTTTTCTCAATAATTCCGATTTTTTATTTATAAATAAATATCTTATTTTGTTTCATTTTTCAATATCTTTTCATTGATATGTAACAATCTACGAAAAAAATAAGACTAGCGAGAAATCAATAAAAAAAGTGTCAAAAATTTATGAAAATTCTACGCTATTTTAATTTTTTAGCATTTTCTGGTTAATTTTATTAAGTTTTGTAAGAGTGTTATACCTTTTTGCAAATTTATAGCTTAAGACTTTCATCTGCTTTCATCCATTAAAATTCGTATGAGTCAACGATAAGCACAACTGAAGTTAAATAAGCTTCACGTTGGCGCAACCAAAAATTTTGAATTTTTTAAAATCAAATTATTTAAAAGCTTTAAATTAAATCTTCAGGCTGCTATTAAATACATGAAACATTTATAACAAAACTAAATGAAAAAGTTTAATATTATAGCTCAAATAGCATTAAAATTAATATCTGGTTTTCTTCATATGGAACTGTCTTTTGTCGCCAACGTGAAGCTTATTTAACTTCAGTTGTGCTTATCGTTGACTCATACGAATTTTAATGGATGAAAGCAGATGAAAGTCTTAAGCTATAAATTTGCAAAAAGGTATAACACTCTTACAAAACTTAATAAAATTAACCAGAAAATGCTAAAAAATTAAAATAGCGTAGAATTTTCATAAATTTTTGACACTTTTTTTATTGATTTCTCGCTAGTCTTATTTTTTTCGTAGATTGTTACATATCAATGAAAAGATATTGAAAAATGAAACAAAATAAGATATTTATTTATAAATAAAAAATCGGAATTATTGAGAAAAAAGGATTTTTAATATTGAAAATTTCAGATTTGGAGAACTCATGAAAAACTCAATAGAAAATTCCAAAACTTATACGAGTCATTAACATTTATATAACAAATAAGTGTGCAAACTTTGAGAGTTTTTCATAAAGTCTTTGCTGAGAAAAACGAAAAACATTAAAAACTAGCATATATAAAATGCGTTTTTTACCCAAATTGACTATATTACTTGAAAATTTTCCTAAAATTTTCATGTTAACATATTGGAAATTTTAATACCTTTTCAAAACTATGCAACACTTTATATCTTAGATACTTGTGTAAAGAACTATTTAAGAAATACAAAAATTTTAAACGATTTTTAACTCAATTTAACCTCCAAATGGCTTCAATTATGTTAAGTTCTTATTGATTTATGTTTAGGAAAAAACGAGGAGCAAAACTAGACAAAATAGTGAAAAAAATGTTAAAAAGAATGCATTTTATGAAATTCTAAAGTCAAATACTTTATTTTTCAAGTTTTTTTTTGAAAAAAACTATTTTTTTAAAAAACTGATCATGAAACTTGACAAAACTATGACATATTTATACTCAAAAGACGCGTTTTAAAAAGATCTATCAATCTAACTTAAAAAAATTAAATTTTACTTAAAACTGAAATTTTTATGATTATTTTTCTTTTTTGACCTTGCTCGACATACGACTTTCAGAGTCAAAAAAGTGCTCTTTGCCAAGAGAACACTTGTTCATTTTACTGCATTAATTGATAGCATATCCAGAGAGCTTTCTAAATGTGAAATAAAATTCCACTACCATGGGTATCCCTGGAGCACTACAGCGATTTTTGTCAAAAAATTGGTGTTTTTTTTATAAAAAAAATTTTTTTCACTACCAAAACTTTGTTAAAATTATACGACATGTATGCAAAAGTTATAGCTTTTGATGTAATCTTTAATATAAAAAAGAAATTAGTAACTTTGGTTGTGCTTGTGAAGACCTACACAAACGGAAGTATGACGAACACGTGGTTTTTGAGAAAAATCAAGTTTTTCACAAAATTTTCCAAAGTTTTTTGCAATTGTTTATACCTTAAAATGAAGGAACTATTTAAAGCTATTACCAAAAAAAAATTGAAGGAGATTCATCCATCCAGTGACTGGTGAGAGCATTTTCAATGTAACGTGAAAATGGTCGTCTGACCAACTTTGAAGTGCCATATCTCGGACACGCTGTCGACTTGGGCAAAGTTTTAAGGACGTAAATGTAGGACAGAATAAGGACTATCATATAAGTTGTAGAAATAATTTTTGGAAAAATTTTCCATTTCTGGCCCATAGTGGAACTTCTGGAAGTATAATTGATGTTACAGTTCTCTGAATATTCGCTTAAAAATGATATGAAAGACGTGCTGCACGTGAGAATGTGGTTCCTTTATGTCTCATCATCTTATGCTCTTCTTAATTTACTTATTTGCCAAATAGTTTACTCAATTATGCAAATTTCAATCAAACTGATTAAATATTCTAGTGTCGTATGTATGCAGAAGAAATTAAGAACAATTTGAATAAGTTATTTGAGGTAAACCTTTAACCTTGCTCACATAAAATTCGTGATTGATACCTTAAATAACATCATGCTTATAGCTTGTCTTAAAAGAGACATCTTATAACGAAACTAGCATGAACTTGAATTTTAAATCAAGTTAAAAATTTTTGTTTCGTAATGTAGAAAACATTGTGCGATTTGATTTTCATATCTCTGGTCGGAATCGAATCCATGTCCTCACAAAATATGGAAACAAATATCCAGTCTGTTACCTAACCACTCGTGCCATAGAGGCCTTACTCTCGCACTGATAGATTCGCCCAATGCGTGGAAACTCAGGATTAATCCTGAAAAATCTTAAAAAATCTCTGAGCCAATAAAAATAGAAATGTGAAATCCCTTTCAAATCCCTGATGCATTTGATGAATATTTTCGGGATATAAAGGGGAATTTCACATTTTCATTTTTATTGGCTCAGAGATTTTTTAAGGATTTTTGGGATTCTTCAGGATTAATCCTGAGTTTCCACGCCTTGGATTCGCCTATATATGGCTCAATACCTCAAATACCACTCTGCTCGAACACCACAAAATCCTACACAATTGCATAAATAAGTCTTCAGCTAAGCATGTCTTTCAAAAAAAGATAAATAATGCAGTCTCGTGTCCCAACGAGCGTCATCATCGTTAACTTCACATTTTATTTGATTTAACTGATGAACTTTTTTTTTATTTTTTATTCCAATTATTTACGACCAAAATAGATCCGAGAAAATTTTAAAGATAGAAAAATTTAAATGTGCACAAAAAATTGGCATAAATAAAATTTCAAGATGTGTCAGAGATTTGTTTATAAAATAAATTGTATAAGAAATTGGAAATTTTGAAAAATAAAAATAATTTCAACTTCCTGCTTGTAGAGGAAAGAAAAGTAAAATTCGGTTAATTATTTCATAAGTTGCATTTTATTCTAAAATATGATTAAATCTTGTTTGAACACTTTTTTGCAGATAAATGTTTCACACTTAAAAACTAGCTACATTTGTTCTGCACTCCAACAGCAAAAATAGACTTAGAAACATTAATTTGCAATCTCTTAATGACCTTTCTTTGTTTTATGTCTACCAATAAATTTAGATTCAAACAATTGCTCACAATCTTTGGAAATTAATCAACAATGTGCTAGTGACAACGTTCAAAAATTCTTTAATTCCAATTTCCAAATGATAAGGAACACTTTCATCAACAGAAATGCGATAATTCTTGACAATCTCAACCACAGCTGTTTTAATGATGACATTCGCTAGCTTGACACCAACACAGATCCTAGAATAAGGAATGATAAGGAAGTAAGATAAAGGAAAGTCTTAAACATTCAAGGCATTATTGCTAAATCGAAATTAGATTCAATAAATTGAGGTACCAGTGCTCAATAATGGTTACTGTACAGAGCGTAGACAGAGAAGGATCAAACTTCTCATCTTGACTGAAATTTGTTCTCATTCTTACAGTTTTAAATTTTCTACGCTCTAGAACAGTGTTGTCTAAACTTTTTTGAGCCACGGCACATCTTTGTGATAAGCTATGACTGAAGGCACACACAGTTTGTAGCTCGCGTCATTTACCAAAAATTTCTACGGCACACAATTTGGACAACACTGCTCTAAAAAAACAGGAAGAGCTCAAAGGAACGTCGAGTTTTGCATGCTAGTCGAATTCACTCGTCTTCATACAAAATTAATACCTCCTTCGAGCTCTGATTCAAGTCAACACTATTGTGTCACCAAACTTTTCTCAACACAGTGTCTTGCCACGTCCCTAGCCAATACTAAGCACACATGATAGTCGAAGATTCTATTTTAAGAAGAACGTCTTTGAGAAGTCCATGAATCTTACCTTCCACCTGATCCAAATGGCAAAAGAACACAACGATCAGTAAATGCTTTAACTCCGCCATTTGATGCGTCAAATCTTTCAGGTTCAAAGCTTTCAGGATGAGGGAAGTGATCTGAAAATAAATTAACTATCAATATTGATTTTTGATTTGTCTTATCTAAGTTAATACCTTGACTTATAGCCATTCCTACTTTAAGCCCATCCCCAGTAAACCCCTTTCTACCACCACTTACCTGGATCACGATGAATAGAATAAATCGGAATCATAGCCACATCACCCTTCTTCATCTGATATTTATGTCCTTTAGCACCATCAATTTCAAAGCTTTCAGCACATACTCTGGTAGTATAAACAATTGGTGGATGTAAACGTAAAGCTTCATGAAATACTTGATCTAAATATTCCAGTTCCATAATCGTCTCAAAAGTGATGTGCTCGCCTTCATCATCAAGATTTGCATTAATTTCCTCTCGAAGTTTGTCTTGTGCTTTTTGATTTCTGGCTAGTTCATATAAAGTATACTGCAAGACTAATCCTGATGTCTCGAATGAGTCCATAAAGATTGTCCAGACTTGTGACATCAAGTCATCTTCACTAAAGCTCTTCTTCTGTTGTGTTGCAATGATGTGATCCAACAAGTCATCAGGTTTAAAGCTCATTTCATTTCTGTGTCTAATTGCCTCAATAGTCAAACGTTTAAAGAAGGCAGCTGATTCCGGTGGGAACATTTGCGATGAACATTTCTTTGAAAACGCGCCAATAATTCCATTCATAACTTTTCTTGAGTGGTCATAAATTTCAGGATTGTCAGATGTAAGGCAATGAGCATCCACATTGAACAAGCAGCTTGATATCAAATCGCACGTATACCTCGAACATAATTCCTTAATATCATATGGCTTTGTAAGTTTTTCATTTACGTGATCAATCAATTTCTTCGTTGTTTCAATCGCGATTGGGTAAATCAATTTAAGCTGAAAAAGAAATTTTCATAATTTTTTCGAATCAAAATAAAAGTCTTTTGGGGAATCTCACTTTATTTTTAGTCATTGCTGGCGTCATTTCGGCACGTTTTTCATTCCATAAGTCGTCAACCATAAAGAAAGGATTAAGTGCTAAAATTGGATCTCTTCTTTTGCTGACCTGTGAATGAAACGTAATTGCATTGAGTTGGATTGCTTTGAATTGTGGAGGATTTAATTTTGAGATTTGAATTTGTTGTGTATGAGCTTTGTTGGGTATCAAGACATATGTAGGCGAATTTGCCAGTGCAAGAGTGAAGCTACTGTTGCTCGAGTGGTTAGGTAACAGACTGGATATTTGAAAACCACTTTTGTGAGGACCTGGGTTCGATTCCCACCAGAGACGGAACTCTCAATCATTATATAAAGAGTTGTCGATATGACAAGGATTCATGCTGATATGAATTCACTGCTGAGTATAATAAAACACAAGTTCTATCCTAATCGTACAATCCTAGTCGTATACATACCATTTTGGAGAAATCATTGTTCCGGAAAACCTTGAAATCTGTGATTAAAACCTTCTTCAATATTTCAGGATCAATGACCAAGAAATATGGTTTAAGTGCTGTAAAAAATCCAACAAATGGATATTTTCCTCTTGAGTAGCTGTAAAACAGACAAAAGTAGATATAGCAGACATTAAAACTTGTGCAGTGACGTCTAAGGCAAGACATCCTCCAATTTTTTTTTTTTGTTTCACAATTTCCAGATTAACTTGTAAGCTTTAGTTCCAGACTATATTCTTCACTCACCGGTAAACATCATCAATTTCATAAATAACATTTTTCTTCCCCAAAAATGATTCTTTTGTGTGTCCAAAAAAGAATTTTGGTTTAGGTCCTGGAATACCTTGCTTTGAGAAATATTTAAATCGTTGAGAAATTCCAAACAGAATTCCAGCGATCACTAAAGAAATTACTGAGAATATTATAAGAAACATTTTACGTCTTCACTCTGCGATTGCTGCTCTTGAACTGCGCTTGATACTAAATTTTATGATAACTCAAAATAGAAAAAAAATCTTTAATTTTGTTTTCTTTTCCTTTTGCGGGGAACCTGCACATGAAAACAAAAATACGCAAAAAATAAATCAAAATTTATTGGAAAAATGCTTTTCATCGACGAAGAAGAACGAGATGAAAATATTTATGATCATTTAATGGATTTTTCTCTTATTTATAGATTTTTGTTTTGGGATGTAATTGATACTTTGGGATTTTTTTTATATCTGCATGGCTGGTATAGCTTATTGTTGGTTTTGTGGATGATTATGGAAACTAAAACTTATCAAGAAGGATTAGATTGGATTGTAGATTTGGAAGTAGTAAGTATTAGCACAATTCGGGTAATCTATCAGAATTCCTACACCAAGCTGGCTTGACTCTAGCATGGCACTGGATCTTTGTCAAATTGACAATACTTTTCGGAAATTATTGAAAGGTCGACCTCTAGTAATCGAACCCACTTCTTCATAAAAATTGGAGATTTTTTAAAAAACTAGTTTGTTGATTAGGGTTCATTCAATTATGACGTCCGAAATTAACGGTCATTTTTCAAAAAAGAGCAATGGATTTCCAGGATATTCTATTGTTCTTTTCTTGCTGACCCCCTCTCTGAACGTCATAAATGAACGGCCCCTTAACCACTCAACCACAAAGACCTTACTTCAGTGGTACTCAAACTGTATGCCCCAGCACACTAGTGGAACGCGAAAAAATTGAAGTCTAAAACTGATCTTGTATTTTTATGTTTTACGACTTAAATAAGGTCATTTAAATAATTTAATGTGCAGCGAAAAGTTTTCATTAGAAAATGTGCCATATACCAAGGGTGTGGTACTATGAAATGATCAAAAATGAACAAACATAATCAAAAATGATTAAAATTGATCAATATTGATTAAAAATGATGAATATGAACAAAAATGATCAAAATGTAATTTTCCAGCTCCGCACCCTTGCCGTATACCGAAAAATTTTGAAAAATACTGCCTTTCTCACTCAAGTCAGATACCACCATCCTTAAGTGGTCGTTCGCAAGTCTCGTCACACTGTATGGGTAGACGGAGTAGAAGATTTTGTGGCAACTCCAAATTTTATAACAAAAGGGAATTGAAAAATTCGGATTTTTTGCGTGACGTAATTTTTGACTGACCCCTAATCTGTAAATTGGAAATTTATCAAAATAATTTCTCAACAAATCCAATCTTATATTTTTCAATGTTATTTTATTTTAATTCAGTGCCTTTTTTGGTGACTGTTCTTCATAATAAAAAAGTTTCTATTTATGATAATTGCTATTAAAACATAATAGATTATTAAATTAAAAAGAATTGTTTTGTAAATTAATCACAACAAAAAACGTGAAACAAAAAAGATAGAGAAGGTTTGAGGGAGGTTAGAAATAATTAAAAAAAAATCAACTAAAAATTTGATAAATAAGCAAAAAATAAAGAAAATGAAATAAAAAAAAAGAAAAAATCAACACATAAATTTTTTTTCCTTATAAATTAAAAAAATTCAATTTTTCGCCAAAAATTATTTTTTTTTCATTGCACAAATTTTGAATTTGAATCAATTTTTCGTTTCCTTAATTACATTAAATTAAATTTACAAATTAAATGTTTCAGGAATTTTCACACAAAAATTCCATTGCCAACAGACGGCTGGAAATGAATTTTTGGCTGCTTAAAATGACATGACGACCTGTGGCTCTTTGGTGTTTCCGTTAAGTCACTCACTGGTGTACATTTGGCTTCATAACTTAGACTAGAAACATTTTTGCATGCTGCGACTGGCGTACTTTGTGCTGCAAGCTTTTCAATCAATTCATTGCTGCTCAACTTCTCAGTTGGTCTGAAAATCTCAAGCTTTAGACAGTCTCGTTCCTTTCTTATTAATTCTATGACTTCTTCTTTTGGCATTGTGACTACATTAATTTCATCAATAAATATCAAATAATCTCCTTTTTTAATCCCTGACTTTACTTGCTCTAGACTTATTGTGTTGATTTTTGGAGGCTTCGACCATGAAATTTCAAATCCATAACTTCCATTTGACTGTTTATGGATGACTTTTGACATTGTCAATGCCGTTCTTCCCTGTGAATTTCCAGTATTTTCTTCAGAATTTAATTCTAAATATTTTAATAAGTCATTGCTAGGCTCAATAATTGGATCTAGTTGCTTCTCTTCAATTTCTCTGATTAGAGGCATTGGCTTGGTTAGGGCTGACTGAGATTGCAGGAGGAAAGAGCCTTCAATGTTGTGAGCAATTACGTCTTGGACGGGAATTGTTAAGCAACCGAGGAGTTCGCTTTTTCTAAAAGGAGATAAATTAAAAGATGAAGGTTAGTTTTGGTTGAATAATATTTAGGATATACCCAGAATATTGCTATGATATACCCTTGGGATTACAATGATCCATAAGCAACCGACTAAGAAGGTCGCATTCAAAAAATAAACCCCAAAAGAACCCGGTTTTCAATGTTAAACATCATTAAAAAATTCCAATTGGAATAACATCATAGCTTCTATGCTATAGACATATATCATGACTATGTCTCATTATAGAACTATCCTCAAATTTATTTTAGAACTATGACCATAGAATATGACCTAAACTATGATGATACAACATTTTAGAACAATCATTATACACATCATAGAAATTCAAATTTCAAAAAACCGTTCACAAAATTTTTAGTACACATCCCTAACCTAACGTCTTTTTAAGGACATCAGCCATCAAAATAATAAATTCCCAACACATTCCTTTACATAAAAAAATTCAACTTACTTTAAATTCTTATTTCTATGCCACACAGCTATTTGAAAGTACTTCTTGCTATCCTCATTCTCATCAATATCGAAGACAAAATTATGATCGAATATGGGACAAGTTGAGTTTTTATGGACAGCTGTTCTTTGGTATGTATTTTGACTTGTTGAAGACTTCAGGACTGTAAGGGCACATTTGACATAGGCATTGATATGGCAGGCATCGTTTGATTTCATTAGATTTTGACATTTTTTGACTGTAACATATAAAATTTAAAATTAAAATTATTTTCTTGTTGTGGATGTATATTAAGGGATGTGAAAAAGTGGAAGCTACAAAATTTCAGTTCCAATTTTTCACATGAGTATCAATGAAGCAATAGATTTGTGGCAACACATTACCACACTCACCGTGAATGGAAATCTTCTTCTTATTATTATCACATGTAGTCACTAGTTCCAGTGAACCTTTAGCAACCGAATTTTTCATGCATTTTGATTGTGAGACATAAGATGCTGATGATGAGGATGAATTGGAAGCAACTGAGGATCTTTTGAACTTTTCACTGATTTCATCGTAATTTGCAGAACTAAAACTCAAGCATTTTTGGATTGATGAGTCATGATGAACATTCTCCTTGTCAGCCTTCCCACTGTCACTCAACTTTTTTCTATTCTTATTCTCATTGCTTGTGTTCTTCCTTCTTACAGCATTTTGTCTCTTTAGATGGCAGGATTCGTCATTTTTTAAGTCTACAATTTCAACTTCAGTCTTTTGAGGCGTTTTCTCTCTCACTTCTCGTTCATTCTTAGCTGCATCATCAGCAATGATCAATGTTCGTTCAGCTGCTTGTGCAATTTTACTAGCTGACAACAACTTCTCGATACTTTTCTGTTCCATATTGTCACAAACGATGCTGAGTGGTTTGACAAAGTTTGAATTACGATCACGCTGGCTATGGACAGGCTGCTTTGGTCCATTGACTTGAGTTTTAGGAAAACATTGCTTAAACTTTTTTCCATGCCTTGCACTTGCTAGAATATCATCAATCATCTGCTGTAATGTTGTGTCACCAACTTCCGATGAGTTAAGTGACGGCTCAGAATCTGACAGACTTGAAATTGATGTCAATTGGATTTTATTGTCACTAAACTTCCTTACAGTCAATGGTGTGGATAATGGTGATGATGTTGTTGCCATTTCAGGCTTAAATTCATAAGACATGTCAAGTGCATCGAATTTTAATCTTTTGGATGGAATTTCATCATTATTGTCATAACTATTTATACTACAATTCAGCACTGCCTGTCTCTTATTAATAATTGGATTATGTTGAGCTGCTTTCATGATTAATGATGTTGGAGAGTATTCAATATCAAATGATGGCAATGTCGGTGCATAATTTGGTTGATAAATCACAGTCGGAGGTTCCTTAAAGAAAATGTCTCTGCTTGTTGCCATTGAAATTGGTGACATTGTTGGCGATGCTATTCTGACTTTCTCTGAATGTACTTTCACATGACTATGCTTTCGTTTACATGCTTTATGTAAATTACTACTGTCATTCAATGGCGTTGAACTTTGTCGATTTTGGATCCTCCTGACTGGCGTCAATTCTTGATTATTCTCCTTATCATGACTATAACTATTATTATTATTATTATTATTGCTACTTTGGAAATTGCCTAGCGATCGTCTTCGAAGATTTCTATTATTTCTGTGATTATCAGTCAGTGCATCTCCCATTGACCTTCGACTATGAATTTTTCTAATTCCTTTACTGCTATTATTATTATTATTATTATTTTCTGCATTATCGTCATACACACTCAGTGCATCGTCAGTGAGACGTTTTTTAACCGTCCACTTTAACATTTTTCTTCACTTCCGTGTCTTTCAATTCTTTAGTTAATGCTGCTTTCTGGAAAGACAAAAGAAAAGAAAAAAAGAATTAAAATGAATGTCCTGTCTTTGATTTCCTAAATGCGATAAAGATGTAATAAGGCATGAGGGTTGGTTGGTCATTTCGGAGGGAAATGGAAAGGAAGTAATTTTGCTGTTTGGACATCCTGATTTTGATTCGTACAACATTCATTAAAGACAAGATTTCAAGACTAAAACTAGTAATTTAACGTTCATTGAGGAGTGTCGGATGCAACGAATTTTCTTAAGAATTATTAATTTATTCTTATGCTTCATGCTTCAATAAATTCATCGAATACCCCAAAAAAATATAATTTGATGTGCAAAATGCAGCTACACCTGTTAATTAAGATTGAGAGCACCTTAAGAATGACGGTCGAATGAAAAGAGTTCGAACAAAGTAAAAGTGAAACATGTGGGATATAAAATATACACACAATTCGTGATGGTTCCTTAAGCATGCTTGAAAATCGATTGCTTCCTTTAAATTTCCTTTCTTTTCTTTTATTTTGTGAGTTTTAAAAGACAGCGACTTTTTGTACGCGCAGCGAAATGCACTTGTGAGGAGGTTCAATAAACTTTGTTATTTTATTTCTTTTGTGACTTGTTATCCTGCCTGCAGTTTTAGTTTAGTTTGTTTTTATGGCTTTTAAAAATGTTCGTTTTTAGGTGCGTTTTTTTGAATTATAAATTTTTTTTTTTACATTCTTGAAATTAGAATTTTAATTTTTAACTGCAATTTTCAGAAATTTTAAGCCTTATATCCAGCAAAATGCAATCCAACCTCTATCCCAGGTGCGCAATAAACTCATAAACTTCACCACAACATTTCTTATCTCAAGTGCCAATCAAAAAGTCAAAAAGTATTGCAACTAATTTGCATACATGACCGCAAAAATGGTAGCACACGATGTAGTCAAGCTAGACCTTTTCCAATGCATTTATGAGGGTTGAATCATTGGTCTTTTAATGGAACTAGAATTTTTTTTTTAATTTCAATTAAAATTATCAAAAATAATAATAATGCACGGGGTAGAACTTATCAGCATTCACTTTATGGTTAATCTCAATTGTTATGTTCTATGCTTTATATGACATATTTGTGCCTTAATTGCATGCATTATTATTGTTACTATTAATTTTTATTTCTAGATATTCAAATGCGATAAAATTTGCTTACTTTACAAATTATACGACATGATATGAAAGCACAGTAAAGGGATAATAGTAAGTGATCCGCGTGCTACTTATGACCTGCATATGGCACGCAACAATAAAAAATAATGAATATTCAAAATTACTCTTAAAATTAGAGTCTCTAATAGGTGTGGATTAACAAACAAAATTTCATTTTAATCGCTCAATAATAATTTCATAAGGATCTCGGCTACTTCCATTAACTTTAATAAAATGTCTCTAACGGTCTTCGATGTAGCAACGGTGCACTTAATAGCTTTTTAATGTAATTTTTGTTTCGGTTAAATACAAAAGAATGATGAAGAAGATTGTCATCATTTATAAGTGAATATTGTGTGCATTTTGTGGAATGGATGAAAGAGTTGTCGATGACTATAAAGCACAACAAAAGGATTAATAGCATAAACATTTTCATCCTCAATTCCTCGTCATTTTTATTAATCATGATTTTGCACTTTTTTCCGTAAAAAAATCACAATTTTTGGGTGAAAAAATACATCCCGACCCCTATATGCTGCATTCCCGTCACATTATGACTCATTCATTATTAAGTGCCGCATTTTTTTATGTTTACCGTTCCATCATGTGACATGAGGACTTTTTATATTGATTTTTCATGTATTGACATCATGTTCAACATAGATTTTATTATGTTATGCTGTATGTCTCATAGACAGTCAGATGAGAACCGTCAGAATGAGAAAATAATTGCAATTAATGTCAAAATGTGCACATTTTGCACCCGCATTTCCAATTTTAATGAGATTCTTGTGTCCATTTATTCAGTTATTGAATATTCATAGCTTATTTTTTGCAGTTAAAATAGAGCATAAAAATTATAAAAATTAATCGAGCTCGAGTCTTGGCTGTTTAATGATCAGTAATGAATGATATTGTGCTGGTGAATTAACGAACTTTTCATCCTGTTGATTTTATTTTGTTTCCTTTTTTTATTTTTTTTCCTAGCGGTTATAATCATGTGATATATTTGTATAGAGATATCAATTCCTCATTATTTTAGTTAAAGTTCAATTAACGAAGGTCCTTCCACTGGATATCCATTACATAAAATCTAAATTAAATAATTAAAATGAAAATGAGGAAATGCCTAGTTTAGGGCAAGTGCATTATTATGACATGATTATCAAGAACAATCACGCAATGAACAATAAAGCACCGCTATAACTCCTTGCTCCCTACTGCTTCCTGTATATACTTCGCGTCCTGTGCCATAAATTTTAGAAATTAGAACATTTTTATTAGACGACACTTGTAATTATTTGAGCATTAGCGTCAATTTTATAGCAGTTCCATTGCCACAAATATTTGTTATGTGAGAAAATTCTTCATTTTGTGCTGCATAAAGCATGCAAGGAACGTTGATCTAATTTAAATTGATTGCCTTTCCGAAAAAATGGATTTAATTTAAAAAAATTGTTTTCTGATTTCTGTCTACCTGAATTGTGTGCCTTTCTCTTTCTCTGTCTGTCTTCCTCATTTGCAAGACAGTATATGGAAGTGCCTTCAATTCAGTCAAGAAGAAATTGAGAAGAGAGAAGGGAAACAGCCAGGTGCTGACTTGTTTCTCTCCATCTGGTTATGTTATTCCTTGACTCAATATATATATATAGAAAGACATACAGGGAAAGGAATGGAATGAAGAATTACTCAATGTCACACAACTTACATGAACATAAAATCATATTTTTTTGAGGACGAAAAAAAAATTGGAAAAGAAATTAAAACATTTCAATTCTGTTCTGTCAACCCTTTCAAGACACAAAACAATTAAAAAGTAATTTTCATGCAGTAGCTACTTTCACTCTCGATACATGTCAGCAATGACACTACAATGGGAACTAAGGAATATAATGAGAAAAAGAAAGAAAGTCACAAGAAACTGGAAACAATTTTCCTCAAATTTGTCAAGAAACTCTCGATTTTTTTTTAAGGCAACAATCAAGCAACAAAAGCAAGTCAGGCAGATGCAAAAAAAAATAAGGAACAAGAAATTGCACTGAAATCGAGAGTCATCAGCTGAGAATTGTGTATAAAAAGTGCATCATTGCACATCAATGAGATAATTCAGATTGCACGTCTTAACAAAGAATTTCTCTCACTCGTCATTCCTTCATTCTATCCATCCATCCAGCATGTCTCAAAAAGCTATTTCAAATCGCATTATTTTTTATGAACTGATACCTTTTTTATGATCGACTCGAGACATTTTGTTGTGATGTGATATTACATCCATCTCTTCCATCATTCAATCATTCTTTGGAAGAAAAGAAATAAAATAAAAAAAACCGGGAATGAAGGAACAAGAAGGAAAGTTCTTAATTACATTTTGAAGGGGATTTTTTTGCAGAATTTTTTTTTTCACTTTTGATATTAAAAATCAATTATTTATGGATTTGTGGTTTATAATGACTTCTTATTCCAAAAAACTTGAAAAAAAATAGTGGAAAAAATCTCCGTTAAATAAACAAATAAATTTTCCCATCGCTGTCATAAATATTTAATGTCAAAATATTTTTTTATTGTTGAATATTTTTACCCGAAAAATCACAAGATTTATTGCCGCAAAAAAAATAATAATTTTTAATTCCATTAAAAAAGGAAATTCGCATTTGCGGAAGAAATAAAATTATTATTTTGAATTACAATAGAACCGATCATTATTTATTAGCAAGATGTTTGCGTGCAAAAGGAAGCACATTTTTGAGAATTCAATGAAGCAATTGTATGCATATATATGCAGCATGATTACCTTCAATGCTTTAAATTGGTTAAAATATATTGTTACACTTATTAGCTTCAACAAAAGTATCTTATTCAATTTAAAAGTAATTGTTACAGAAAAATAATGCAGATTTTGCAAATTAAAGGCGGGAGACACATAAGATGAGGTGAGAAGAAGAGGAAACGAGTGGTGAAGATGGCAACAAAAGACGTTACCCTCCAAAAAAAATTTCATTTCCAAAAAAGTATTTTTTTCTCATTCTTGTTTTTTTTTTGATCCTCGATTTAGTGACCTTGATGGATATTTGAAAGGAATTCGCTATTGTCATTAACTGGTTTAATCTGCCTGAAATTCCTTCGTCTTGTTATTTTCATTCTTGGTCCTTTAAGAAGGGGATAAGTTTGGATGTGATGTCCACAATCCTTAAATTGAGAGAGATTTGTGGGGATTATGATTTGAAACTTGCAACAGAAGAAGGACTCGAACCTTTATCCTGAAAAACTCCTGTCATATAATCTGACTACAAAGCTATGACAAGCCTATCAAATCTCAACAGAATGCAAACTTAAACTATCAATCTATCCTGAACATCATATTCAGTCTCATTATTGACCCATCTTTCCTCAGAGCCCCCAACAACATCACTTCCACACAACCCCTTCAACTAAAATTTCGCATAAAATAGACACAACCATCGATGTACATTGCATGAGACACAAACACATAAGATTCCACACAAAAAAAATATGCTTCATAATACAAGAAGACCAAGAAAGAGAGAGAAAATGTACAAAGAACTTTAATGAAGGAACAGGAATTGAGCACCTGGAATGGATAAGTGAGTGAATTCATTTCACACAACAAGGACATTCACTGCAAATTTCTTTCGGGTTTTTCGGTTCAATCTTTTCGTTCCTCTTCTTCTAGCCTTGCTGTACAATATTTTTTCGCATAACAGAACAAAATTGCATGAGGAAGAAAATTGTTCGAGGGGACATAAAGAACAAAAGAATTTACTTTTCGATGAAGACGAAGAAATTGAAAAAAGATAGAAAATTAAAATTTTTTGAAAATCAGGAAGTTCCATTGATGCCTTGATGGGAATGGACAGTAAAAATAAAATATTTTAATTGCATCTTTTCTCAAACTTGAGTGCCTCAAAAAGTAAACCAGAAAATAATAATAAAAATTTTACGACATTCATCCTCAATTCAATTCACTTCTAATTGCCAATAAATGAAAATTGTTGCACAGAACGAAAACAAACAGCTATAAAAATTCTACTCGAGATTTATTGCAATTGCTATAATAACACCGTCCTTAATAATAACAACAAGTTAACGGGAGAGGTAGAAGGAAACCATTAAGAGAGCACTTGAAGTGCGCGATCGCGTCAATCCACATAAAAGAAAAGAGGAAATAATGGATAGGAGATTAGAGGAGGGCTCGAGCGGTGAAATTTAATGTGATTTGTGGAAAGACCTTTCATAACCCCTTCACAGTCATCTTCTCGTTACCTTTCACATTTTCATTGTCTGTCCCGCATTTAACTTTCAACAGTCATTCATTCCCTTTGACTTTTTCTTTTTTTAAATTGACCATTTGTTTAATGTTCTCATGCTGAATGTGTAGGAACAAAAAAAGTTATTATTATTATTAACTGTAACTTATAAAGCGGTAAGATACAGTTTGTTTAAGGCAAAGAAAGCCTTTCTTTTTATGTTCCATCACGAAAAAACAATTGAAATGAACAAAAGTTGAAACCCTTTAAATTGATCTAATTCTGAAGTATATGCTTACATTGACTTTTTTTTTCTTAAGTTGCCTTTAACGAAGGTTTGATTAGTTTTTGACATTTTCTCTCAAACATTGGAAATTGTTTTTAAATGGAAGGAAATGTCTAGTTATGAATTACATTGTTCTCACATTACTGACTAATGTGAATAGATTTACATTACATGTTTGTGCATTTTTTTGTGATTTCTTGACGAGAGTTAAACAAAAAAAAAATAATAATTTTTTTTACGAGACGAGGATGCAGTTATGAGAGATGCTGGATGAAAAAAAAATATTGAATTTTTAATTTTTTTTGCTCGTTACTCGTTCGATAGATTTAGGGTGAAAATGGTCTAATTACAAAGTTTTGTAAACTTTAATTTTTAATATTTTCTTGACGAGGGGTTGTAAAGACACTGTCAAGACATAATTATTAATAAGGAATTAGGAAGTGTATTGAGGAATTTACGTTTTGATACAATTTCCCACAAAATAATGAGATTATTATTTCTGGTGCATGTGAAAGTGATTAAAAATATTTTATTTTTCAATAATCTTTTGCAAACAATGGCCTTGAATATTTTTGTGGTCTTTGATGTGGGAACTTCTATTGTTTAGTTTTGTTTTTTTTTGGGTGAATTTTGATGGTATTACGTGGGGTTCATGTGAAAATATTAAGGATTATGGCCGTTATAACAATTTTCTAGAAATTTTTCAATTGACTGATTTTTTTTTGGGGGGTCCAAATATCCCAAAAATTAAAATCACATTTTTTTGAATCTTTATGTTGCAATAAAAAAAGTCAAAGACTGTTATAGAAGCGATTTTGGTGCTGATTTGATGCCAAACTAGCTTAGAAAAGCTACTGATTAGGTTTCTCGAATCAAAAAGGATTGTTTTTGGTTTCATATTCACACAAAATTTTCAATTTTTGTGAATATGTATTAATATGTTTTAGTCAATGTCTACAAAATTTCATTAGATCATAATCCAAAAGTATCAAAAATCATCAAATCTCCCCAATCTCATGCTCATTTCTATACAGAATCCCCTCCTCAATTCCGTACCCAATCCCATACTTAATTTCATACCCAATCTCATATTCAATCTCATAACAAATCCCATACCCAATCCCATACCCAATCCCATACCCAATCCCATACCCATTTCCATACTTAATCTCATACTTAATCCAATACCCAATCCCATTTCCATACCCAATTCCATTTCCATACCCAATCCCATACCCATACCCAATCCCATACCTAATCTCAAACTCAATCCCATACTAAACCCTTCCTTCAATCCAATACTCAAACCCAAAATAATCCCGGACCGATCCCCTCAGCACACCAAACCACCCATGTCAAAAATGTCATATCTTCCTCAGATGAGTTTCCAATGACGAGTCTTTGACATTTTCTTCCTCAAAAAAGGATATGAGCCCAGGTATAACAGTAAAAATGTCTTAAATTCCTCCAGCTAAAGGGGTAACTTGCCTCCTTGCTTTAACATGAAGTACATGACATGTTTCGTTGATTAAAAAAATTATTTTATGAATTATAAAGAGAAAAAAAATATTGTTTGAAAAATTAAAAATTCAAATTAGATTTTTTTTCTTCTTCTTCCTTTAAGCATTAAGTCTTGTATGTGTCCCAAAAGGAGACTCATTCTGTATATTATGCATAAGAATAAGAATGTTATGTAATGTTTGTATCCTTTTTTAATTTATTCAAATTTATTTAAATAGACCAAGTGAGAGTGTCGAAGCGGGAAATAAATTTTAATTTTTTTTACTTCTACTTCTATTTGGTTCCTTTAAGGAATAGAATCTTGACATGGGATGGGAACATGTTACGACAAACTGCACAACAACTCGTTTTTTTAATGGTTTTGTGCAAGAGCAAAAAATTAATTTACTTAATTTTGAGTATCAGTCATGTATGAAGAAGGCAAAAAAGAGTACCGGAGATACATCCTGTCATTTATTGATTTTTTTTTATGCTGTGGATTAAAAAAAACTCTTCCTGAGAAAGTTCTTAAATTCACAGTATGACAATTTTTTTTTTCATCATTTCCATGTTAAAGCTTATTACTTTGCATATGAATCCTTTTACCTGCCCAGGATGCTGCTGATGCTCCTTTACTTCCTTATATTTATTAAATATTCAGTTAGAAGATAATTATTTTTAATGGCGTAAACAAACTGTAAGATTAAATGTTGTAAATGATTGCCTAAGACGTAATTAATGCCTTTAAAAAAGGGTGAAGATTTTTATGTCCTAACGGATATCTTCCAAGACTCACAAAAGTTCAATTTTCTTTAAAATTCAATCAATTTAAATTCCTTATTGTAAAATAATTTGACAACAATTACACGGTTATCACTCACTGGATATGATACGCTCTATATCCAGTACAAACCTTCTTTAAATCTCTGTTACTTTTGTATATACAAAAGCATAATGAAGCATGCAGAATTATTTTTCTAATGTCAATTGATATCAATTTTATGCAATTCAAACTTATCTAAATTTCACCCCTTTCTCATATTTATATCCATCAACAACATTGTACGTGCATGTATATGTGCTGCTCACTCTTTCGTCAAAACTCCTTTCATTTCATTATTATTCAACTGTTAATGCCATTGCAATTGCCAACATTAAATTATTCTATAAAATATTAATCGACAGAGAGGATGTTCAGTTGGAATCAAACATTTTGCTTGCTCGATTTGTTGATGTGATTTTATGATAATAAAGGCAAGAAGCTTATTTTTAATTCCTAGTAATAATATCAAACTATAATTGACGATAAAATTTAGGATTAGAGGTAATTTCAATTTATGTCCTCTCCTGCAACTGCACCGTTAAGTTTAAATAAACATAAATATTATTTTTTATTGTTCCTGAATTCATGCCATCGCAATATTTTAAGAGATTTTCGCGGATTCTTATTTATTATGTTTATTTTGTGCACCCTGAACATCCCCGTACTCAGTAATTGCATGCCATCTGCTATGATGTCTCATTATTGATGATCCCGTAGTGGACTTGATAAACATTTTTGGTCATTACAACAAATCACCAGCATAGTCAACGTCATGATGAATTAAAATCAGATGAACCGCATGTTTCATTTCCATCATGTTCCACACCTCGACACCCTTTACAAATCATTAGATCGGTGCTGTTTTTGTATATTTTTGTGATTGAATCGCAAACACAGGCATTGAATGACTAGAAATTTTGGTAAAAGTAAATTCGCAATGGGTGGTAATTTTGTGAAAAATGACATGTTGGTAATTTCATTATAATTTCTCCTTATTTTTTCAATATCCAGAATGAACCACGAGCTCAAGTTAAGCCATGTGAATTTAATAAAAGTTGAATAAATGAATGGAATCGACAAGTCGTCCTTAAAACCAGATCTCAATTATTTATGGACGTTAATATCATGCAGAGATGATTATCTGATTATAAATTCAGTGTTTAGATTTCAAACAGTGTGGAATTTGCATTATAAACAGCAACGGCACTCACCTATAATTTCTATTATGACAGTAATCCAACAGAGGGAAAATTTCCTTCACTCGGCAACTAATTATTATTGTCTGTTTATTTCACAAAATATTGTCTTTTATGTCCTTTAGTCACAAATAATCATTCAGCACATTTCTTCTTTTTTATGTCCACAAAACTTTTAATTTTTTTTAGTTCTTCTTTTTTTTTGCAGAAATAATTTTTTCTCGCTCACGTGGATTTTTAAAACAAAATTTTAACGCACTGACGTCTTATTCATTTGATGATCAGCACGAAACTAAAACTCAACTTGAGAGTCACGAGAGAGTTTTGAGTATAAAGTCCTTTACACTCGCACACAATTGTGCATTCGCTGTGTCTACAGGCATTCATAACTGCACATGTGTGAGTGTTTAACAACAAATACTTTAAGTCACAGAACCCTTACGTGTAGTTCCATCTGAGTAATTCGAAAGACTGCTTTTGAACCCTTTTTAAAATATTTTTTTTTTGAGTTCAAAGAAGTAAGAAATGAGAAAATTTTGCACATATTTATTTTTTTGCTACACTTTTTTGCGTCAATAATGGGTTGAATTCAGGTAATAATTGAATTGCCCTCATTTGATAAAAATCTTTAAGATTGCGAAACCTTTTTTAAGTGCGATTTGGGATATGGATGGGTTGGTAGTGTCATTGAATTGGCAGTTTGTCAATCTATTCTTTGAGTTGGCTCGTTATTTTGGTACATTTTATAGTTGTTCATTGAGTAAGCGATCTAGGTTCAGTTTTTCGAGTTTCGATATCTTAGAAAATCTTTGATATCTTGCACTCTGTGGATCTTCCTATAGCTGCTGCATGTGTAATGCAAAATAAGTCGGGTTCGATGGGAATCGAACCCACAACCTCTAAAGAGGCGATCTCTGACCTCTCGATTAGAGATCTCTGCCACTCGACCAACGATGTTCTTATCCCACTTCTGCTATCCGTCATACACGTACAATCAGTTTCACTGTGAGCCCTATGCTCAGTTATATCTCCTCTTGAACTTCTCTTCGAGCCATATCCACACACCCAGGTCGTTCATTTTACTATGTTTTTTTAAAATGAAAGTTCATTTTAGGTTGGCCAAGTTCCCGAATAACACAAGTCTGCTAATCAAATTTCTTATCGATTAACCGACTTGTGCTATTCGGTATTGCGACTAAGATTGCACTAGGTTTCTATTAGTATGATAATAATAATAATAATAATGTGAAAGGGTTTCAGCGAAGCGATGTGTCACTACACGTTGCGACGAGCTGAAGGCACTGCGATCCTGATCTATTAGTATGATAATAAGTCTGTTCTTTAGACTGCCCATGCATCAATCTGATATCCTACTATCCATCAATCTCCCCATTATGCTAGCAATTCATTAGATTGACAGTAAACTAGACCATCAAGGGCCGGCTTCTCAATTAAACACTAAGCTAAAGTCGTTTGTAGTGTGATTAGGGTGTAGCTAGTTAAAATACTAAAGATTGAGACTAAAGATTATACTCTTAAGCCTGTTTGCCACCTTAAATCGACCTTTAGACCATTTGATTCGCTTATCCATCAGATTATTGATTTATTAAACCTTCAATCAATCTTACAATCATTCGACTAGGTTGTAAGCTTAGAATATTCAATTAGCTTCAATACTTTAATAGGTTTTCTTCAAAGAAGATGGTTTGAATCTTAATTTTCATTATAATAATATTCTCTATCGAGTTAAGATGTAAATTAAATCATAATGACTTTTAATTTTGAAAAACACAAATACTTCATGAATCATTGCTATTGAGTACTAAAGCAAACCTATAAATTGTTAAATTCATAAATTCCAAGCTAATAATGCGTTTTTATCAACTAAAGTCGCAAAATCTTATTACTGCTTTCTTCTTACACGGAAGATGAAGGCTATAATATAAGATGTAGGTACGAAACTAGTTCACAAATCATTATTGAACAGATATAATCAATAATAACAATAAATACACACAAGAAGGAAATTTCAAAGAAAAGAAGGATTCGGAACATTGCTTTAAAATAAGACAAATTGATTTTCCTTATCATTGATTTTTATCAAAATTTTATATTTAATTTTTTATTGCATGTCACAACCCTTATTTAACAAGTAATAAAAATTCATTGCAAAATGACATTGCGAAATTTCTGATTTTGATATTAATTCAATTGGAAAATGAGGCATTAACTCATTGAAATTTATCTAATGACTTTTAATTTTTATTTTTGCAACAATCATTTTTTTTATAACGAATTTAAATCTTGACTATATTTTTTTGTCCGTTAAAAGAAGATGAAATGCGCGAATTTTTTTCAAAAACTAAACGACGAGACACCGCAAAACCGGATTGTAAGAAATTTTTTGATAATGACCTTGAATAAAGTATGATCAACGTGGTATGGCTTATAAAAAAAAAATAGAATTTAAATTTCAAAGGAATGCAATGCGCGAAGGTAGGGAAGAACGCGATATGAAAATGAAGAAATAAGAAACTCGAAATTCAAGTGTGCTCGCGCCAATTCATGATTCCTATGTCTATTCCCCTTCGCTCATATACAGCGAACATGTGAAACATTCGTAAGTACATTTCTTATGCATTCGCCCTTATTTTATTTTTATTTTATTTCAATTTGAAATGTAATCGTCTAAACATCGTCGTATGCTTCTTATTATTTAAATAACGTAAAATGATTTTTTAATTATATGCAATGTACAGTTGTTGTGCTTGATACTCACAGATTTTTTTTTTTATTTTCAATTGCATTCTTCAAGACAAAAAAATTCAATTTTCTCAAATGTCATTGAAATTTATTCCATTCATTAAATATGCTAGAATCTTCGTAGAGAGATTAAGCATAAAACTGAGATTTGACACCTTTACCTTCTCGTATTTGCACAGGTTCTTATAATCTGCATCACTAAGAATTGCTATGAATTTTGTTAATAATTACCAAAATCTGCTTAAGGTATGAGAAAATGAGATGCAAATTGGAGATTGAAGGAGGTGACAATAATTTTTACTCGGTTGACAAATTTGTAAGAATAATAAATATTTAATATTTTTTTTGTGTGGTCGACTTAATGGGATTTCTTCTTCTTGTGGTACTTAAATGGAAGTTTTGAGATTGAATTTTTTTAATCTAAATTAGAATTTTAAAGTTCTGAATGAGTTTTGGAAATGGAAATTATTTACATTGGATTTCGTACTTTTTGTCAACTTGTTAAGCGGATTTGATTAGTTTTCTACTTAACAAGAATGTTTTATAAACTAAAGATTTTTAAAGTTTGTCAATAGATTGAGCTTATGAAGGTGTAGAGAGATTAAAGGACTAGATCAATGACGGCCAACTCATGTGCCGCACACTAGTGAATCGCGCCAAAATTTTAGAAATCCAACGAGTTTTATGCATGTAGTGGAAGCACGTTGCCAGAGGGGGGTTTGGGGATCCCCTCTTTTTGGAATAATTTATTCAATTTGCTAGGTTTTTTGGACACAAAATCGTAAATTACTCTTTTATATTACAAAAAAATTTAAAAATACCCCCGAACCTCTAAAAATTTCTGGTTACGTCCCTGAAAAGGTTGTTCATCACTGGACCAGATAATAAGTGATGATAAATCAAACGAAATTCCGCCAAAAAATCTCGACACGTGGTTCTTCAATAATTCAATATCCGATAATAATTTGAGCAAATCGCAACCACACCACCGAAATTCAAAAAAAATTGAAAAATTATGAAAGTAAAATATTTTGTTTATTTAAATTATTAGTGTGTTGATTTTAACCAAAACTTTGTGCTGGCTAACCTTTGTGTCACGGCACACCTTGATAATAAGTCATGAACGAAACCGCACTCAGCTTACGGTTTGTGACATTTTTCTATTTTTTGTGGTACATTTGTGTGCCGCGGCACATGGGTTCATCATTACTGAACAAAACTATTATTTTATCTTTCACTTTTTATTTGAAAACATAAAAGAAACCGATTAAATTTATGAGATTTATTTGAAGGTTATTTTTTCACGTGTGGGTGTCAACTTCTGTATTGACTTCATCATCATTAAAAATATAATTTTGTATTTATTTTCCATTATTGAAATTTAAAACCTTTATTAAAAAGAAATAGAATCAAAAATGTTTATAATTTTTAAACTAATGTGTCAAAAATCCGAGCATTTGAAAATTAAAAACTTCAATTTCAGAACTATTTAATTTAATTTAAATAAGAATCAATTTTTGTGCAAATTTGCTTAATTAACCCAAATAATTTGATCCTTTAAATGCAATTTAAAATCTCAATTATTATTAAAATTCACAAATTTCTTCCTCCTTAATTTAAAACAAGCCAGCATGAAAAATACAAATAAATTTTCATAGTCAATATAAATGCAAATTTTCATTTCGTAATTCAATATTTGACTAATCAAGAGTGAAATTTATGCATCAAATAAATTAGAGACGTCAATCTTCACAGATCAATTGTCGCACATCAAATTTTTAACAGTTAAACCATCACACATAGAACTACAACAGATAATGTAAAGACCATGCGTTAATTTTACATTGCATGAATTTTCCATACATAATAAAAATTTAAAACTATTAAAATCAACTTGATCTAATAAAATTTGACATTAAAATTCAGCTATAAAAATGTTTATTGCCCAATAATGAAATTCCAATTTCGATTGGTTGTAAAAACATTTAATTAAATTTTTAAAACAGCGAATTGCTTAAAATTGCGTGAATTTTAAAGTAAAGCTGAAAAGATTTTTGCGCTCATAAAATTTTACAAAAATAATTTCCAGCCCAGCTGTCTAAATATGCACACAAAACATAAATCGATTTCTTCCTATTTTTCTAGAGCGTAAATAATCAATTCATAAAAATGTTATGTTATTTGACCAAAAAATCTGGACCGTCCTTACATGCATGTTACCTTTTGTTGCATATCCATAAGTTGTACATGACAGGAAGAAAAGGAAGATGATGATGAATAATTTTATAAGAAGAATTGCATGGGAGATGTTTATGAATGACGTCAATCTTTCATTTTTGGGGACGAGGAGTGCGAGAAGAGTTCATAAGTGGCTGACGGTTTTTGTCGTTGCAGAGTTTTCAAAGATGCAAAAATTACTGAACGCACAAAAGATGCAATAATATTACTGAACTCACAAAAGATACAAAAATATTACTGAACGCACAAAGGAT